TGACAGCTATGAAAGTCCATCTCAAAACAAAACAAAACAAAACAAAACAGTGTTTTAACAACGAATGAAGTAACTTGCTCCCATAAAAAATATACTCAAGTTAGGAAAATAACACTTAAAAATAATATTGTGATTGTTTATGTATTTTTAGTTTTTTGTTACCAATAACCACAGTTACTAAAGTGCAAACTTTAAAGAGCTGAACAAAAAATTCTATTCAGTGGTTTGAACATATTTGCTAAAAATATTAAAATGCAACCTTTTAATTAATTTTCCTAAATGATTTCTACCAGAGAACATGGAAATCTAATTCAACTTAAGTAGAATCCTTTACATAATGTGCAGGACTGAAAGTTTGGTACTATGATTTAATAAGCGTAATATTTCTTCCATGAGTATAACTATATCTTTGTGGCTCAACCACATGTCAAAATAAGTCAGTCTTAGTCATATCTTTGTTTTTTGTTTTTGTTTTTTGCTTTTTTTTTTTTTTTACAGTCCAGAGGTCTTCTTTTTTTTTTTTTTTTTTTTTTTTTTAAACAACTATTATGCCGTGAATTCATAGGGAATAAGTTCCAGCAGCTCAGGCTCCTTCCCATTGGTTCTCACAAAGTGTGCTTCTCTGGGTGGAGCAGGCTGGCGCTTCAGTTGAAGCCAGGTACCTTTCTCTTTGGCTTCTTTCTTTTTCTGATCATTTTCCTTCACACATTTTAGGAAGCTATCTCTGCTCTTAGAGTGTTTGATGTGCTCAATATACGCACATTAATTTTCTTGGCAAGAATCTTGCCCTTAACTTGTTTGTTTACAACAATGCAGCATGCTGGGTAATATTGTAGACTCTTCCAGTTTTGCCATGATAGCATTTGTGGGGCATTCCTTTTTGAACAGTACCCATTCCCTTGATGTCTACAATATCACCTTTCTTATAGATTCACATAGACGTGGCCAAAGGAACAACTCCATGTTTTCTAAAAGTCCTAGAGAACATACATCGAGTGCCTCTCCTCTTTTCCTTTGTGTTTGTCATTTTGGCAAATTACTGGAAGATGGTGGTTCCAGCTGAAAGGCTTAGTTATACCTTTGAAGCGTTATATTTTTTGTGTAAGAAAGGTTTCTGTTGTCATTCATAAATATAATTTAAAAATTAAAAATGTCAGTTTTTATCTTATGCCTTTAAAATTGCAATATATTAACCTTATACATATGTTAGTTAAGTAGTAATACATACTCTGTATGTATTTTGGAGATAGAAATGGAAACATTTCTTAGTAATAGAGTACATGATAAAAAGCCTGAAGAGAAACTTGTTTAAGCTACAGCTTCTACTGTTACTACTACTCTAGGGACCTCATTTTGTATCCTTAACGCCATCCTAGCTTTCGTAAAGCTGTTCTCCACTTAGTAGGCGAGATGGTCTTCACAATATGCAGATATAGTTGCATGACTCTTCTACTTAATAAGCTGCACACACACAGGTCTTTAATATGGTCTACAAAGTCTGTAAAGTGTGTGATATAGCTTTTTAGGTCTCAGTCTCATGTCTTACCACTCTTCCACCTGTACTTTTTCCTCCCTGTAGGCTGCCTTTTTAAGTTCCTTGTACTAACTGTGCTCTTCCTTTTAAGCTGGCATTACACATGTTTTCTCTCTCCCTACAGCACTTAGCCTATCTCCTCCTTTCCCAGTTTATTTCCTACATATTCTTCAAACTTCAATCTGAATGGCAGGTCCTTTGGTCATCTTCCTGGCTAGATTTCTCTCTCTCTCTCTCTCTCTCTCTCTCTCTCTCTCTCTCTCTCTCTCTTTCACACACACACACATACACACTCACTCTCTCACACACAGACACACACAATTACAAACTCTTAATATTATTAATTCTGTGTATTTGCCCTTTATTGTGCTTATCACAGTTGCCATTTTACTTTGATTTGCATGAGTATTTGCAAAGGTAGTCATATTGACATCCAAATAGGTGTTAAGCTCCTTGAGGACAGGGCCCTTGTCAGTTTTTGCTTATTCTGTTTTCTTAGTACTTTGACACATTAGTAAGTGTGATGCCAGGGAGTTTGGGTTTCATACTAGGAAAAAACAGAGAGTCATTGGAGGTTCTACGAAAAATAGGCAAACAGTGATGACACATACTAAGACGGGCTGTAGAAGGATAAACTGGAGGCTATAGTTGAGTGAAGGAGAAAGACTAGAGCCAGGAAGATCTATTAGAAGGCCACTGTAGGTAAAAAAGATGAGGACCTGAATCTTTCCAGTTCAGGTGGTCTTGCCTTTGGTGGGTGTTTAAGACACAGAATCTAGTAGTATTTGGGAACTTTGTCAGAGATAAGACAAAGAGATCAGAGATTACTTGGAATATAGGGCTAATAACTTTTAGGCCATTCACCAAGTAAATGAATATTAGACAATAAGCAATTCAAGGGGGTAAAGGAATCTTCATTTTATTTTATTTTTGTTAATTTGTACAGATGGGGTCTTGATATGTTGCCCAGGCTGGTCTTGAGCTCCTGGCGTCAAGTGATTCTTCCACTGTAGTGGAAGTATTGGGATTACATGTGTAAGCCAAAGTATTGGGATTATATGTGTAAGCCACCATACCCACCCTGGAATCTTCATTTTAAACAGAAGTCACAAAAGTGACCTCTTGCCTACTGCTCTAGTTACAGTTTTTTAACAGCAGTACTAAGATGCGATTCACTTACCATGTAATTCACCTACTTCAAGTGTAGAGTTCAGTAGTTTTGAGTTTATTTGTAAATCATCAACTCAAAAAGAAACTGTACCCTTTAGCTGTTATCCCTCTTTCCCTCTATCCTCCTTTCCACCCTTAAGCAACCACTAGTCTACTCTATCTCTATAGATTTCCCTGTTGTAAACATTTTATATAAATAGGATAATGTAGCATGTGGTCTTTTGTGACTAGATTCTTTCACTTAACATTATGTTTTCAAGATTCATCTAAGTTGTAGCATGTAGCAGTACTTCATTCCTTTTTATGGCCAAATACTATTCCAGTGTATGGATGTACGTCACATTTTGTTCATACATTCATCAGCTGTTGGGCATTTGAGTTGTTTCCACTTTTTGGCTATTATGAATAATGTTGCTATAAACACTTACGTAGAAGTGTTTGTGTGGACATATGTTTACATTCTGTTTGGTTATATACCTAAGAGTGGAATGTTTGGGTCATCTGGTAACTCTGTGTTAACTTATTTGAGGAACTGCCAGAATGTTTCCAAAGTAGCTGTACCATTTCAGGTTCTCACCAGGGTTCTGATTTTTCCACATCCTTGTCAACACTTATTAAATCTGTCTTTTTGATTCTAGTCATCCTAGTGGGTGTGAAGTGATATCTCTTTGTGGGTTTAATTTGTATTTCCCTGATGGCAAATGTGAGACATCTTTTCATCTGCTTATTGGCCATTTATATGTCTTCCTTGGGTAAATGTTTATTCAGGTTCTTTTCCTGTTTTTTTAATTGGATTGTCTTATTATTGAATTGTAAGAGCTCTTTGTAGTATACTGTGGATACCAGCCCCTTATCAGAGATAAATCATTTGCAAATATTTTCTCTCATTCTATGAGTTGTCTTTTCACTTTTTTTGATAGCATCATTTGAAGCACAGAAGTACTTAATTTTAATTAAGTCCAGTTTATCTTGCCAAATCCCAGGTCATTTAGATTTGGCACTATGTTTTCTGCTAAGGATTTTATAGCTGTACCTTTTACATTTACAGGTCTTTGGTCCATTTTGAATTAGTTTTTTTATATGGTATAATATAAAATCCCAGCTTTATTTTGCCTATGGCTACTCAGTTTTCCCAGCACTATTAAGAGGATGCCATGTAATGGTCTTGGCATCATCTTGGAAAATCAGTTGACTGTAGAAATAAGTTTTTAATGTTTTTTAGCAGCAAAACTATATTTTAGCTTTCTTATTAGTTGAATTGTTCTTTCACAGACAATTCTGTAACTAAAGGAAGATTATGCTTGTTTTTAAGTAGGCTTTTAGGAATATTTGTGTAATTTTAGTGCTACATCTTGTACCCAGACTTAATTTTGAGAAATGCATAGTTTGTACATATGGAACAGCTGTTCTGGTCATGAAAATTGAGTTTGGAAAGCCATGTTTTACTGAGGGTGACATTTTGGTCTCTTGCTATTGGTGCTTCCTGAGTGCCAGCCACTATGCTGTTATAGGGCTTACATGGAAGTATAGGACCATCTCTTCTTCAAGTTGCTAATGTATATAAAATATTGGGAGCAGGGAGAAGGAGGTAGTAAAATGATAAGGAAATATTCATATGGGTTTTTTTAGTCTATAAAAGTGGTGGGTTTTTTTGTTTTTTTGAGATGGAGTCTTGCTCTGTCACCAGGCTGGAGTGCAGTGACACGATCTCGTAACCTCCACCTCCTGGGTTCAAGTAATTCTTCTGCCTCAGCCTCCTGAGTAGCTGGGACTACAGCCACGTGCCAGCATACCTAGCTAATTTTTGTATTTTTTAGTAGAAATGGGGTTTCATCATATTGGTCAGGATGGTCTTGATCTCCTGACCTTGTGATCTGCCCACCTCGGCCTCCCAAAAAAGTGGTATGCTTTTAATGAATAAGGTTATGCAGCTATTTTCACCTAGTACACTGTCTTCAGTACTACCTTTAGTTTTAAATAAAGTGTTTTCTTAAAACCAAGATTTTAAAATTGAATTTACTTTCTAAAGGGCTCCAAATAAGGACATGACTACAATGGATGCTGCTGAAAGAATTGAATGATAAAGATTATTAGGTGGCTTAATTCTTTTTGTATTAATCTCTGGGAAAGTCAATTATTGATCACAAAATTGCCAAAGCTGATCAGACAGGATCACTATATTCTTCCTGTGCTTTTTCAAGTACTTAAAGTGTTTTTATGTAATTTAAGCGTTCTTCACTAATTAACCTTTCTTTTTTAGTGTCACTTTGTATAATATTATGTTCCTTTTTCTTAGGAGTCTCAGCAGTCCAATTTTGGCCCTGGAGAACAAAGTGAGTATTTCTTTCCCTCTTGGTTTTTCAAATTAAGCTATTTATTGAACATTCCATTTTCATGGTCATACCATATATAATTTTGATAACTTTACATGTCATATCCTTTTACATTTTTCTTTTTTTTTTTTTTTTCTGGAATGTAGTGGTGTGGTCATAGCTCACTGCAGCCTCCATCTCCAGGGCTCAAGTGATCCTCCTGCCTCAGCCTTCTGAGTAGCTGGGACTTTGGGAACATGCCACTATGCCTGGCTGATTTTTTAAATTTTTCATAGAGATAGGGTCTCACTATGTTGCTCAGGCTGGTCTCGAACTCCTGAGCTCTAGAGATCCACCCACCTTGTCTCCCAAAGTGTTGGGATTACTGGCGTGAGCCACCATGCCCTCATTTCCTATTTTTTTTTTTTTTGATCTAATGAGTAGTAATGGGTTGAGCTGAAAAATTGTCATGCTTTAAAAAATTCAAGAACTGTAGGTCATTGGAGATCAACATACACTACTTTTATTAAGTATTTGAACTAATAGTGAACATAATTTGATGGGCACCTTGTAAACTCAAGAGTCATTCTTTCTTTTAACTTTCTTCATGAAGATACTTGGTTCTATGATGGTAAAATGCCACACAGGAAGGGGTCATTTTATTTAGCTGACCATGGCTCTTTTCTTCTTATATTTGTACATTCCCTGTTTATTCTTCCTTGGTTTTCTGATCTGGGTAGAAAGTCTTCTGCCTGCTATACCCTCACCTTTGCCCTTACTCTTTTGGCCTGTCAGAAGAACTTCTAGAGAAGATAGGGAATTCAAATATGGTCCCAAGAGACTGTGGTTGTGTAGACTGAGAGTGGTAAGATCAGGAACCATTGAAAATGTGTGGGCTTCACCATATACCTTGGTAACAAGATAGGTATTCTTTTTGCCAAGAGCAGTAACTTCTTTTTTTTTTTTTTTTTTTTTGAGACGGAGTTTCACTCTTGTTACCCAGGCTGGAGTGCAATGGCGCGATCTCGGCTCACCGCAACCTCCGCCTCCTGGGTTCAGGCAATTCTCCTGCCTCAGCCTCCGGAGTAGCTGGGATTACAGGCACGCGCCACCATGCTCAGCTAATTTTTTGTATTTTTAGTAGAGACGGGGTTTCACCATGTTGACCAGGATGGTCTCGATCTCTTGACCTCGTGATCCACCCGCCTCGGCCTCCCAAAGTGCTGGGATTACAGGCTTGAGCCACCACGCCCGGCCGAGCAGTAACTTCTTAATTAAGGTAGATTTATACTAGTCATAAGGTATTTTGGAAAATGAAAATGTGGAACTTTTTGATCCTTGATTTGTTATCTTCAGTGATCTTAGTGCAGAGGTAAAACTAGAAGAATACCTCTTTTGATGTATGCTTTTCTTTATCTATATATCCGTTTCTTAGTTCCACCATAAAGGCTGTAGCTACAGGAAAAAGGGACCTGACATTGTTAATATGCAGAAAATAGCCAGATGTAGGCCAGAAAATTTACATTTTCTCTCTTCTTTTTATTTCCTTTTTCTCAGCTTGTTTTTTCTAGTCATCATCTTTTAAGAATATTTCGTTCTTCTTCTCCTCTCCCATTCTGTTTCCTAAACGCTGTTCACAAATGAGATTATAAGCTGCCTCTACTCATTATTACTTTGTGTTTTTCACTTTGTTTTAGAGTTATTTCTATATCAGTATAAAGCTCTAGCTCATTCTTTTAACCTTAAAATTGTGTTATAATATGAAAGTATCTGGCTGGGAATGGTGGCTCACACCTGTAATCCCAGCACTTTGGGAGGCCAAGGCAGGCAGATCATGAGGTCAGCAGTTCAAGATCAGCCTGGCCAATATGGCGAAATCCTGTCTCTACTAAAAATACAAAGATTAGCCAGGTGTGGTGGCGGGTGCCTGTAATCCCAGCTACTTGGAAGGCTGAGACAGGAGAATTGCTTGAACCCGAGATGGAGGTTGCAGTGAGCCAAGATTGTGCCATTGCATTCCAACCTGGGTAACAAGAGCAGGCATAATTTATTTCACTATTTATCATAATTTATTGCCAAGAGCAGTAATTTCTTAATTAAGGTAGATTTATACTAGTCATAAGGTATTTTGGGAAATTATGCTTTATCTGTATATCCATTTCTTAGTTCCACCTTAAATATTGATGGACATATATTTTTCCAGTTTTTGCTGTTACAAACCGTGCTATGAAAACGTTCCCGTGTGTGTGTGTGTGTGTGTGTGTGTGTGTGTGTGTGTGTGTTTCTCAAGATTATACCTGTAATGTAAATTCCTTATAGTAGAATTACTAAGTCAGTTAGCACTATAGTTATTGTATATTACCAGATTGCCCTCCAAGAAGATGGTATGAGTTTACAGTCCTACCAGCAACAGGAATGCATGCTTATTTCCCCTGTAATCACCCGTATCTCATATTATTGGGCTTGAATGTGTTACCTTTTTGGTGGATGAAGAACTATATTTCATTGTTTGATTTATATTTATTTGAGGGTAGATATTTTATATAGACATTTTACAGTCTAAATAGCCATACTTTAGTTGCTCACTTCATTGTTTTTGTTCCAGAAAGATATAATCCTTCTAAAACTTCAAATGGGCACCAGTCTAAATCGTAAGTTTATGGCTTAATAAGTTTCATGTTTATCATTTTTATAAAAGTTACCCGTAGTATCTGGGGGTTTTGTTTGTTTGTTTGTTTGTTTTGAGACAGAGTCTCCCTCTTTCGCCAGGCTAGAGTGCAGTGGCACAATCTCGGCTCACTGCAACCTCCGCCTTCTGGGTTCAAGCAATTCTCCTGCCTCCGCCACCCAAGTAGCTGGGACTACAGGTGCATGTCACCAAGCCCAGCTAATTTTTGTATTTTTAGTAGAGACAGGGTTTCACCATGTTGGCCAGGATGATCTTGATCGCTTGACGTAGTGATCTGCCCGCCTTGGCCTCCCAAAGTGCTGGGATTACAGGCGTGAGCCACTGCGTCCGGCAATATCTGGGTATTTTCAACAATACTTAGAAATATTGAGGCTGGGCGAGGTGGCTCACACCTGTAATTCCAGCATTTGGCAGGCCAAGGCTGGTGGATCACATGAGGTCAGGAGTTCGGGACCAGCCTGGCCAATGTGGCAAAACCCCTTCTCTACTAAAAATAAAAAATTAGCCAGGCTTGGTGGCGTGCCTGTAATCCCAGCTACTTGGAAGGCTGAGGTAGGAGAATCACTTGAACTTGGAAGGCTGAGGTTGTAGGGAGCTGAGATTGCACCGCTTCACTCCAGCCAGGACCGCAGAGTGATACTCAGTCTCAAAATTTAAAAATAAAATAAATATTGATCTTTTAAGGCATGAGCATGCAAACTTTTATGTAAAGAGTCAGATAGTGAAATATTTAGGCTTTCAGAGCCACATAGTCTGTGTTTTAACTGCTCAGCTCTGCCACTGTAATATGAAAGCAGCTGTAGACCATATTCCAGCCACACTCTTTATAACAATGTGGCAGGTTGGATTTGGCTTGTGGCCACAGTTTGCCTGCCTCTGCTCTGAAATAATTTTTTTTTTCTTATCTGAGAGTTGTATGTGTATGTTTTTGTATGTATATTCCTAATTTGTATTGAGTAAAGAAGTCATAAAATAGAAAAAGACATGATTTTTCTTTAAGCCAAGCCCTTCATATAACCACTAGATTAAGTAACAAATGTAGTTTGTACTGTCTTTAAGTTTTCTTATTTTTATTTTGTTGGTAGATCCAGGAATATATTTTTTAAAATGTAACACGGTAATGTATTGAATGAAAATAAATTCCAGCTTAAAAAATGAATTCCTGAGACTGCAAGTTAACTCAGTGATTAAAGTTCTAAAGAAACAGTGACTATAGTGCCAGCTTTCTATGCCACAGTCACAAACTACTGTGATGACCCTAGCCTGGTAGCACTTCAGCTGAATATAAGAACTAAGAATGAAAATACATGAACACAAGAAGCACCCCCCTCACTGAAAAATTCAAATTATATTCCTGTTATATTTATTTGTATGTAAAGAACTGCTCTGTACTTACATATTTGTACCTATCACTTTGGTTGCTAAGGGAACAAAAAGTGTGTGCAGGGCCTTGAGCAGTCTGGTAAAAGCTTTGACATATTCATGTGTGTAAACAAGTTCATTGAGCTGCCATTATTAAATCATAAGGGCCGAGAGAATTCAGAGTAAGTACATTTCCTTAGAGGAAAATCAGTCATAGAGATAGACGTACTCAGCCCTTGCCTGAAAGAAAACTCTTTTTTCCCTGTTCCATTTAATTGGGCCTGTTTTAAAAATCATCTGGTTACTTTATTTCAAGGTGATCTTTTATAAGTAATATTTTGAACTTAGAGCCAGATACAGAAATGTAGGTTAAGCTTTGATGGGGAAAGTACAAGTAGTTATTAGAGTGAAAGAAGATTTCCTCCTCGCTGATTGGAGATAGTCATGAAATTTTAAGAAAGGTAATGGAATTACTGGTAATGAGAAATTAGACCTTTTTCTAGTTGTAGTTCTTCCTAAGCTTTGTATTAATTTTTCCTCCTCTGTAAAAAGACAAGGAATGTTTTGTGGGCTGTGTAGAAAATTTTAAGTTTAATTGTTTTGATTTTACATCTTTAATTTTACTTTCAAAAACAAATTCCAGAAACTGTTAGCTTTTAGTATTTGTGTATGTGTTTTAATTGATTTGAATTTTGCTCAAGGGAGATTCTGGAACTTGGGCTGTTTTATTTTTGTTTTTGTTTTTGAGACAGTCTCGCTCTGTTGCCCAGGCTGGAGCGCAGTGATGGGATGTCAGCTCACTGCAACCTCCAGCTCCCAGGTTCAAGCGATTCTCCTCCTACCTCAATCTCCTGAGTAGCTGGAATTACAAGCACTCACCACCACCCCCAGCTAATTTTTGTATTTTTAGTAGAGACGAGGTTTTACCATGTTGGCCAGGCTGGTCTCGCTCCTGACCTCAGGTGATTTGCTCACCTCAGCCTCCCTAAGTGCTGCACCCAGCCAGAACTTAGGAGTTTTAAAAACATATACATAGTCATTGCTGCTATATAGCCAAGGCTTTTACCTGAAATTTTTGTTTATAGAGGGCAATTTCTTTCATAGCAAGGCATTTATGAAGTAAAACTTTGGCTTAGGAAACTGTTCTGGTTTTCACAGTTACCCAGTTGTCAACAGTTACGCTAACCTCTCTTTGTGGAACATAGGGTACAAAGAAAGAATTGCTTGATGCTTTCATTTTGTCTTCCTTCTTTCTAGGACTTATATCTCTCTAGTGGATTGTTGGGTATGGCTGTGTTAATTTTTAATAATTAATATGTGTGTGCACGATTAGGGGAAAAATTAGAGATTACAGAACTGAATATGAGAGTTTATAGAAAGTTGCTTTTGTTTAATTAGAAAAGGTAAATATTTTATTCGTGGGAAGGTTAGAGCTTCTGAGATAGTTAAATTCCTCCATTCTCAATTTTGAGACTCAATCAAACCGGATAGAGTAAGACTTACTGGTGTTTTGTTTTTCGGTTAAATCTTTGGCTACCACAGTGTTTGTTTCTAGAATTTAGTACTTTGGCATACCATGTAAACTGTTCTAAAAATAATAATCCTTTCTGCCTTTTCTCTTAGTATGTTAAAAGATGACTTAAAACTAAGCAGCAGTGAAGACAGTGATGGGGAACAGGTATGTCTACTATTGTATTATTTTGCTGTCTCATGTAGTATATATTTTCATTGTATCTTATAAAAATGATAATTGAATGATGCATTTATTACTTAAAATAAGTTTCTTCTTACAAGCTTTCTGACACTGGAATGTTGTAGTTTTCCTCTCTGTATTTAAATCTCCATTTTTTTCTTTTTTTTTTTTTTTAAGTTGGGTTTTCCTCACATTTATTATGGATCAGAACATACTCATGAAGCAGTAGATCATTGACAATAACAACTGTTAACAAAGCTTTTGATCTTATACTGGCAATTCAGTTACTCTTTAGGTAAAAACAGTGTAAGTGTTAATTAAGCATTGTTGCATAGATTAGAGAATCCAGTTTTTTTTGTTAAGAGTTCAGATATTATTCACACTAAGCAAATAGAATACTGTTTATTCATTCACAGATTCCTTCTTATGCTTTAATTTTAGGATTGTGATAAGACAATGCCGAGGAGCACACCAGGAAGGTAAGCATCCTTTTCTTTTTTATTGGTGAGAGTTGGATCAGCCTGATAAAATTGTAGGGATATAATAAGTGGCCTTATAAGTAAATACCAGTTTTGATAGTGGTTGTACAACTCTGTAAATTAACTAAAAATAATTGAGTTATACACTTAAAGCAGGTGGTTTGTATATTATACCTCAAACTGTTTTTAAAAGGTGAGAATTAATAGCTAAGCAGCACATCAGAAACTTTTAAAAGGAATTACTCATTTCATTTACAGTGAAGTTCTGGATTCATAAAATTATAAGAGTCTAACAAAGAGTAAACATTTTAAAGAGAGTTGTAGCTGGGTGTGGTGGCTGATGCCTGTAATCCCAGCACTTCGAGAGGCCAAAGCAGGCATATCACCTGAAGTCAGAAGTTTGAGACCCGCCTGACCAATATGGTGAAACTCTGTCTCTACTAAACATACAAAAATTAGCTGGGCATGGTGGCAGGTGCCTGTAGTCCCAGCTACTCAGGAGGCTAAGAGAAGAATTGCTTGAACCCGGGAGGTAGAGGTTGGAGTGAGCTGAGGATCATGCCACTGCACTCCAGCCTGGGTGACAGAGTGAGACTGTCTCAAAAAACAAAACAAAACAAGAAAGTTGGTTGTCAGATTTGGATGTTTTCCTGTTGTCAGTGTAAAATAAACTTTGAACATTCGTATGTTTCATCTCTTTTAGTAACTCTGAACCTTCACACCATAATAGTGAAGGAGCAGATAACTCCAGGGATGATTCTAGTAGCCACAGTGGATCTGAAAGCAGCTCTGGATCTGACTCAGAGAGTGAAAGTAGTTCCAGTGACAGTGAGGCAAATGAGCCATCCCAGAGTGCATCTCCTGAGGTGAGACAAGAGAGAGGGGCTACCTTCCATAGGCCCTCTCAGGATTCTTGGTGATGTCCGTTTAAGACCTGATTTAAATATAAAAGGTAAAGGAAAGAAGATTCCATATTCTGACAAAAAGAAATTGTACTGTGTACCTTGGAGGAAACGTATGGTTCCTTGTTGTTTGAGGAAATTTGGTCTAGATTAGGGACTGCTTGGCATCATATTACAGGTCACTAAAATACTGTGTATCTTTAGTTTGGTCTTTATTTTTATGATTCAACATGGTAATTGATGTTCTGTAGTTACAAAGAACATCCTGTTGTTGATAAAAAGCATCTTATATAATACAATTTTAGTATAGCTTTAATACAATTTTGTTAAATTGCAGTTAAAAATCTCTTTGTACCTACATCATTTCTTTACTTTCTAGAATTAAATATTCTGTATGGTCATTTGTAATTATGCTTTTGAAATTGGATTCTTGAATAGGGATATTTGTAATTTAAAGGGCATATATAACATTAAGCTTACCTTCTCATTCAGATGATAAAAGCTAATAGTCAATACTCAGCCCTTTGCTTTGGTTCATAGAGAATCATGGCAAGTAAATGCTTTTGTTGCATGAGGCAATTGTAGTTTTTGTCTTCTTTGAAGTTATAAAGAAGGGAGAAACCTTCAGTATTGACAAAAGCATACATATTTCTCTGTTTTTCAGCCTGAACCCCCGCCAACAAACAAATGGCAACTTGATAATTGGTTGAATAAGGTGAACCCACATAAAGTGTCACCCGCTTCTTCAGTGGACAGTAACATCCCATCATCTCAAGGTTACAAAAAGGAAGGCCGAGAGCAGGGCACTGGGAATAGCTACACTGATACAAGTGGACCTAAAGAAACGAGTTCTGCTACTCCTGGACGAGACTCCAAAACCATCCAAAAGGGATCAGAAAGTGGGCGTGGGAGGCAGAAATCTCCTGCTCAGAGTGACAGCACAACACAGAGAAGAACTGTAGGCAAAAAGCAACCCAAAAAGGCTGAGAAGGCAGCTGCTGAAGAGCCTCGTGGAGGCCTGAAGATAGAAAGTGAAACCCCTGTAGACTTGGCTAGCAGCATGCCCTCCAGCAGACACAAAGCAGCCACCAAAGGCTCAAGGAAACCCAATATAAAGAAGGAGTCTAAGTCTTCCCCTCGACCTACAGCAGAGAAGAAGAAATATAAGTCAACAAGTAAATCTTCCCAGAAATCAAGGGAAATCATAGAAACAGATACCTCATCCTCAGATTCAGATGAAAGTGAGAGCCTCCCTCCTTCTTCACAAACTCCTAAGTACCCCGAGAGTAATAGGACTCCTGTTAAACCCTCCTCAATGGAGGAAGAAGATAGCTTTTTTCGGCAACGAATGTTCTCTCCTATGGAAGAGAAGGAACTTCTTTCACCCCTCAGTGAGCCTGATGACAGGTATCCACTTATTGTGAAGATTGACCTGAATCTTTTGACTAGAATACCAGGAAAGCCTTACAAAGAAACAGAGCCACCCAAGGGGGAAAAGAAAAATGTGCCAGAAAAGCACACGAGAGAGGCTCAGAAACAACCCTCAGAAAAAGTTTCCAACAAAGGCAAGAGGAAGCATAAGGTGTGTGAAGGGTTTTTGTTGTTTGTTTTGAAACATCAGAATCTGAAATGCCACATCAAAATCTGAAATGCTGTGGAAATCTCAGTAAGCCACCAAAGTAGCAAGGTGGGTCACAAGCTGTGACGGAAAATAGTGGGTAAGTCCAAGGCCCAGTTGAGGCTACATATGGAGCAGTCTCTTGAGGACTTCTTTGTTTCTGCCTGTGTCCTTCAGTAAAGCAGGATAGTTGCTAATGAAATAAGAAATGAGCCAGTGTTTTTTAGCATGTGCTGGCCAGTGTAAAGGTCAGAGAGCATTATCTTGCAGACAGGCCTTTGCAACATTCTCAACATTTTGGTTGTAGGTGTTTTTAGTTTGGATATGTACCCTCCAGGTTGTTATAATCCCTACCATTCTTTTCTGTCTTACACCCAGACCAAGTCACTCTTTTAACGTAAGTAATACTGATTTCAGCTAAAAAAAAAAAAATTGATTTATAAATTTTAACATATCCTTAAGAATTCCACTAATCTGCTGTGTACCTCTGTGCCCCAGCTTCTTTTCCTTAACAAAGGTCAGAACTAAAAATACTGCTGGCACATAGCCAGCTCTCATCCCTAAATATATCCAAGATAATTTTGGATGTAGAGGCAAATTTGTACATTTGAGTTTTCTTAGAGGAAATGCGAAAACTCACACGTGTCTATGATCGGAAGATAATAGTCATATAATGAAGAGCTCTGAATCACCTACACATACAGAGATGCTTTGGGAAAAACAGCCTGATCTTTTCAGCTCTAGTGAGGAATTTTTAGGAGAATGTAAAGTTTTAAGTATTCTGTATCAAAGAATAATATAATTTCCCCTGATACCTGTATATGATTGTGAAAGACTAAAAGTTAAGCTTGAGTAGGTGAACAGATAGGTACCCAAATGGCCTTACCAAATAAACTTAGAATGATACTACAGGGAGAGTAGAGCACTTTTTTAAAATGAAGTGAGATATTTTCTTTTTCTTTTTTTTCTTTTTTTTTTTTTTTGAAGTGAGATATTTTCCTCTCTCCTTTTCATAAAACCACAGTGCCATGTGCAGATGATACATATTAAGAGACATTAGAATAATACCTCACTACTTTTTGACGCTTTAAAAATTGAAATTGTCTACATTATTTGAATTTCTAGAAAACCAAAGCTTACTACAGTCTATACTGTACCTAATGAGTTTTATTATGTTATGGTAGAATATTTACATTCTCGTGCCCTGATATTTGAAGCAAAAGGAAAACTTAGATTCCTTTAGAAAAATAACGTTGGCAGTGAGTGGGCCCACCACTTGTGTTTTCCATCAGAAAGTTTTTTCAGTCACTAGCCTGGGCTATAATCAAAAGTATGGACCATAACAAATGTTGGCAAAGTTGTGAAAAAGTTGGAACTTTGAGACAGTGTTGGTGAGAATGGAAATGATACCACTGCTTTGGAACATAGTTTGTTTGTTACTGAAGAAGTTATATGTAGAATTACCTTTTGACCTGCAGTTGTACTTCAAGGTATACATCCAAGAGAAATGAAAACATATGTCCACACAAAAACTTGTACTTGAATATTCATAGTAGCATTATTCATATTAGCCAAAAAGTGGAGACAACCCAGATGGCCATCACTTGATGAATGACTAAACGAAATGAATAAATTCTATGCAGTATAATACTATTTAGCCATAAATGAGAATGCTGTACTGATACATGCTGCAACATGGATGAACTTTAAAAATGTTACACTAAATGAAAGGAGAGCCAGTCACAAAAGGTCACATATATTGAATGATACCATTTTCCTGAAATGTCTAGAATAGACAAATCCATAAAGATGAAATGTGGATTGCCAGTGTCTGGGGGAGGAGGAGATGGGGAGAGACTGCTAATGGGTATAGAGTATCTTTTCAGGATAAGAAAAATATTTTAAAATTCATTGTGGTGATGGTTGTACAACTCTGTGAATATACCAAATGTTATGGAATTGTGTACTTCTAAAGAGTGAATTTTATGTTATATAAATCATATCTTAATTATAGTTTCACAGATGCCACCCCTCAAATCATTACACCGAAAAGATTCCATCTTAGACACTGCAGGAAATCTGTTTTAGTCTATCTAAAATAGGAGACCTCAGCCTTAACCTAATCTCTTTCAATATTTCAATATTATTTAAATGAATTATTGTACTTCTCTTTTATTTTCTTTCTGATGTCTTATCAGGGATAAACTCTTTATGGGTAGCTAGTGCTGGAAGCTGAAGTTAGTTGAATAAAAATCAGACCTAGTAGCCACGGTTTCTATTTTTCATCTAGAATGAAGATGATAGCCGAGCCAGTGAGAGCAAGAAACCCAAAACGGAGGACAAGAATTCAGCAGGCCATAAGCCATCCAGCAACAGAGAGTACGTCCCCAAAACATGTTGCATGCTAGTGTTGTTAATATACGTGTATCACTTGATACTGGGTACTTTCTAACATGCTCTGAGTGTTCCTTTTAGTAAATGGGTGTCATGTAAATGCACACACATAACATATGGCAAATAGTGGGAGCTTTTGCTTTTAGCTAATAGGGATGGGCAACATTTAAAATTTAATTAGTTCTTCCTTTATTTTTTATTGGGGGTAGGGGTGAATATGGGGGGAGAATTAAAATAAAGCTATTAGATGGCAAACTTACCTATAATTTCAGAGAGACTAGTTGCCAACTTATGAGTGATAATCTCTTCATTCACCATTCATCAATTTGTTCATTCAGCCAATATTTATTGAGTACTTACTGAGTGGTAGGTCATATTTTTGGCACTGCATATACAACCACAGGAATAAAAACAGACAAGATGCCTACCCTCATGGAATTTACAGTTTTATTTTGTTTTACAGAAATCATATGTCCTAGTAATGAAATGGGGAAAAACAGATTTGTCTTGAAAGCAAAGAGAAATGGAAAAATCTGTCACCTCTGTGTCACTGTGTGGAGAAATGAGGGCATTTGTTTTATTTGGCAGGTCATCTAAGCAGAGTGCTACAAAAGAAAAGGATTTGTTGCCTTCTCCTGCTGGGCCTGTTCCTTCAAAAGATCCGAAAACAGAGCATGGCTCTAGGAAGAGGACTATTAGTCAGTCTTCTTCCTTAAAGTCAAGCAGTAATAGCAACAAGGAGACAAGTGGCAGCAGCAAAAACAGTTCTTCTACATCCAAGCAGAAGAAGACTGAAGGGAAGACTTCCAGTAGCTCCAAGGAGGTTAAGGTAAAGTGTTAGGGGCTGGGGCTTTTGAAAATCGCTCAGTTTGCCATATGACTTCTCCAAGGTGACACTGCTTTGAAATTATTGTAACATCTCAATAAACATATAGGTCTATGCCTTTTTCCCTCTCAATATAATAATACTGATCAATGAATACAGTGATGTGAGACTGTGAAAGCAGTAAGTCAGCTGGTCACATGCACATTGAAATAAAAACCCCTGGGTGCAGTGGCTCATACCTGTAGTACCAGCTATTTGGGAGGCTAAGATGGAACGATCACTTGAGGAATTTGAGTCCAGCCTGGGCAACGTGATGAGACCCTGTCTCAAAGAACTTTAAAATTGGAAAAATAAAGATAGAAACCAATAATTGGAAAAGTTGGTTATGGAAGTTTTTAAAATAAGGACTAAATGGTTTTAGTTGCTGAGATCAAGTTCTTGTGTTTTGTTTGAAGTAGGCTTTGAGTTTGTCAGAATTAGACTTTACAAACAAGTTATATTACATAAGGTGACAAAGCAGTCATTTGCCTTTGATTCATTAAATAGAAAAAGAAATCTTTAGCTAAGTTAGCACTGTAATTATTTCTAATTATTATTCCTAGGATAGTCACAATGTAGGGGAATATTCTTCATGTTTATGGATGGAGATTTGGATCAAAGAAGCTTTTTCAAGGTTGTACTTTAATTGACTCACCCTCAATTTGTTTACCAGGTCCTTTGCATTGCTTTCTAAACTGTTTACAAATTTACTCAAATCAGAAAATACCTATTATTTAGTAAGAAAAGGTTTGAGAGTTGAAAAATAAGACTGCTTTAAAACTATTAGTTATATTGATTAAATGTGGTAAATAAAAATTTTTAAATTAAGATCATTTTAATTAACAACTTCTGAAATCAAAATACACATTTTCTCTAGCTGAACAACCTCCTTCTGTAGTAGTTCAGTGTTAGCACAAAGGGCTTAAGACCTTGACTCTTATATTGGCCCTGCTTCATTGCTCCAGTTCTCCATCTCCCCGCTGATGGTTTTTCTCCATTTCCCATCCTTTAACTGTAGAATTTGAGGCCTCTGTGCTTGCTTCTTGAAACCTGTTACTGCTTTTTTTTAAAAAAAAAATGTATTAAGTGAGCTCTCCTGCTCATTTGGCTTCTGCTGTCTCACAGGTAAAAATCACTGTGTACGCTTCTAACACACATTAGAAGGGAGTTTTGGTCGGGCATGGTGGCTCACGCCTGTAATCCCAGTACTTTGGGAGGCCGAGGCGGGTGGATCACAAGGTCAAGAGATCGAGACTATCCTGACCAACATGGTGAAACCCCGTCTCTACTGAAAATACAAAAATTAGCTGGGCATGGTGGTGCGTGCCTGTAGTCCTCGCTGCTCGGGAGGCTGAGGCAGGAGAATCGCTTGAACCCGGGAGGCGGAGGTTGCAGTGAGCCGAGATCGCACCACTGACTCCAGCCTGGTGACAGAGCAAGACTCCGTCTCAGGAAAAAAAAAAAAGGGAGTTTCTTCAAGAAGTTTGTCAGCTTCTTGAAAGCAGGGATTTGTGTCTTTCTTATTTTGTGTTTTATCTAGTACTTAACTTGTTGGGTAATGAGGAAATATTTGCTGGATCAAATGTCATTTGGGAGTCTGTTGTTTTCAACAAAATATAGAATAGGTCCTTACTACTTTGATTTCAGTAGCCCTTGGGACTTAAAGTTATTGAAGTTAATATTTGTTAGTCTTGACAATTTCCAAGTTAGGCAGTGACATTTGAGTTTATTAGAGAAAAATCTGTAATTTAGTTAGGTAATATGCTACTTTTTATTCTATCAATGAAAGAAAAATTAGATCTGGAAAACCAACATTACACGTAATTTTTATATTAGAAAACTGTGTTTAAATATCTGGAAACTTTTATTTTCAGAAATCCTCTGAAAAGCAAATCTAAATGTAGGTCCTTAGGGGGTCTATTTATAAAACATAGAGGGAGCCAGGCATGGTGGCTCACGGCCTGTAATTCCAACAGTTTGGTAGGCTGGCTGGAGGATCACTTGAGCCCAGGAGGTTGAAGCCACAGTGAGCCATGATTGCACCACTACACTCCAACCAGGGTAACAGAGTGAGATCCTGTCTCAAATAGATAAATAAAACAAAGAGGGAAAGCTATCCTAGTAATGTTACATATAACATAATATTCAGAAGACCATTTCGAAGTACAATTATGTATTTTAAAATTTTGTATGTTTTATATAAATATAAAAAAATTTATATTATTGGGTAAAGTAAAGTTATATATTATTGGGTTTTCTAATGTTGAAATATCCATGCATTCCTGGAATAAATTTCACTTGTTTATGGTGTTTCATTATGGAAAAATGTATATTTGTTTTATTGAAGATAGGGCTGGATGGGAGGCAATTGAGAGAGAATCATAGTTCTCTGGAATAAATTCCACTTGTTTATGGTGTTTTATTGTACAAAAATGTGTATTCATTTTGTTAAAGATAGGGCAGGATGGGGGGCAGTTGAGAGAGAATCATATAGGGCTATATTAAAAGGAGTCAGAGCAGACATGTAGCCAGGTGCAGTGGTACATGCCTACTATCCCAGCTACTCAGGAAGTTGAGGTATGAGGATCACTTGAGCCTAGGAGTTTGAGACCAACCTGGGCAACATAGCAAGACTCCATCTCAAAAAAAAAAAAAAAAAAAAAAAAAAAAAGAGGACATGTGGATGGGATGCAGAATAAAGTTTAAGAAAGTAGCTAGGCTTTTGAAGACTGACAATTCTGAATTTAAAACTCAAATTCCAGGAACGCCACTTAAAACCTGTTTGAACTTAGACAAGTTACTCAGCCTCCTTGAGACTGCTTTTTCATTTTATCTGAATAGCAGTACTTATTTCCTAAGGTTGTTGAGGGATTAAAAACAGTGCTAAGAACTTAGTTAACTTAGTGTCTGGTAAGTAATAAGCACATAATAAACATTAGGTGCTATTAATATTATTGCTGTTTTCATTGACAAGTAACTATCAATAAATTTTGCTGTAAGTAGTGCTGCCATTTTGGTATTAGGTTTTGTCTTCCTTATGTTTTTGTTTGTTTGTTTGTTTTGTTTTTTTTTGAGACGGAGTTTTGCTCTTGTTACCCAGGCTGGAGTGCAATGATCTCGGCTCACCGCAACCTCCACCTCCTGGATTCAGGCAATTCTCCTGCCTCAGCCTCCTGAGTAGCTGGGATTATAGGCACGTGCCACCATGCCCAGCTAATTTTTTTGTATTTTTAGTAGAGACGGGGTTTCACCATGTTGACCAGGATGGTCTCGATCTCTTGACCTCGTGATCCACCTGCCTCGGCCTCCCAAAGTGCTGGGATTACAGGCTGGAGCCACTGCGCCCGGCCTTGTCTTCCTTATGTTTTAACAACTGCCTAGGCCAGTGCCTGGCATATAGTAGACCCTTATATAAATATTAGAATGAATATTACAGTTATATAAAATGGACCCATTTTTTTTTAAAGTTTACATTATGAAGTTTATAAAAGTTTTATAACAAGGAAATTCATTACAAAAGGCAATGGACATGCTCTGGTTTCTCTTCATAATGAAAAAATCTTTTGCTCTTTACTAAAGATTTCTGTGGAGAGGAACAATTATGAGTTTGTAACTGAATTTTTTGATGTCCTGCTTAGTCAGGGCTCATTGTAAAAAAAAAAAAAGGCAATGGATTTTTGTTTCCTTTTTACCAGTGGCTGAAAAAAAATGCTGTTAGTTTAATTTTTAATCTCCTTACAGTTTTCATTGTAGTTATTTATTTTTTTGGTCAGGAAAAGGCTCCAAGTAGCTCCTCTCACTGTCCTCCATCTGCACCAACTCTTGATTCTTCTAAGCCTCGGAGAACAAAGCTTGTCTTTGATGACAGGTAAGATAATACGATTTTTTGTATGTGTATCTAAGAAGTGATTTCAGTCAGCATATAAGAAACTTATTTTAATTTCTATCATTGATCAGAAGGATGAATAGTTACATATGATCTGCAGCATAATCAAGTTTCAATTTGAAAGGTACCCACTAGTCCAACTACTGCTCCTTTAGTGACTCCCATGGGGGATGTGAATAATCTGCCTTTTAGTAGAAGAACCTTACTACTGCTGATATCACTGTTAAAATGGAGTTTTTCTTAGATGAGGAAGAGCAATATTGTTTTTTTCCTCTGTTTTACTAAAAGATTATTTCTTCTGCTCACACTTTGTTTATGCTTAATCTTTGAGTCAACTTGAGTAACTTAGTATTTAATACTAGGGAGCTTGATTTCTGTTTTCCTAATTAGATTTGCCACGAGTTAGCCAAATAACTTATGCTTTTAACCTGATATAAACATTTGTCAGAAAAAATTGAAACAAGTACTTAGTAATAGCTCATTTTATTCGCCTGAGGACATAAAAACTGAGGGTTACTAGATACTGAAATGAACTAGTATTATCTTATGAAAATATTTACTATTTTATTTATAATGAAAATTTACCTTGCAGAAATTATTCAGCAGACCATTATCTACAAGAAGCAAAAAAGCTAAAGCACAATGCAGATGCATTGGTATGTAAATATTCTCTGTACGCTTATGTATTTAATTAAATTAACTTAAATAATCTTTTGATGTTTGTGGCCATAGTAGACCACTACATATTACTTGTATTCTCCTTTCTTCAGTCTGATAGGTTTGAGAAAGCTGTATACTATCTTGATGCTGTGGTATCTTTCATTGAATGTGGGAATGCATTAGAGAAAAATGCTCAGGAATCCAAATCCCCATTCCCTATGTATTCAGAGACAGTGGATCTCATCAAGTAAGTGGAAAAACTTGGCAAATCATTGGCAGTAACATTATTTCTTTGGTCCCTCTGGGGAAGAGGCTGATATATAGTAAACTTAAGAGGGTGTATAATCCTTTAATGACCTTGGATAAAGGAGAAGTAGATACTTCAATGAGTATTTTTGCTTTTATTTAGGTTTGAAATTCTAATGTTTTGAGAACAAGTGAAATCATAAGATCAAGGTGAAGTATTCTGTTTGTCATTTGTTTGTTATTGTAACTCACAGATACACTATGAAGCTAAAGAACTACTTGGCACCAGATGCTACAGCTGCAGATAAACGACTCACAGTACTTTGGTGAGTTTCTGTGTACTACCCTCTATAGATGACAGGAAGTTCTATGATAAATAGTGCTGTGTTGCTTTTCTGAATGTTTTCCTTGAATCAGCCTTCTATAATCCTGTCTTAAATCTGTTCCTGATGGGTCAAGCAGGAAGCAACTCAAAATTCCTACTAAAAGGTTTTAGTTATTGTCAGTCTCTGATCCATTTCCCGCTTGATGAAAGCTTTGGTTTGGTGGGACTGATTTAGAAACCTCCAGGGTCTGACTTTTCCATGCTCTTCTTTTGGTACCCTGTCTCTCCATTCACTATACATCTACCTTGCTCAGAATAAAGAGTGTGACTTGCTTGCTTCATCCCAGTGAGATATTATCAGTTCGCTTGTTACAGACCTTTACTTTACCTGGCACTCTGTTTAACACTGGGAATGCAACTAAGAAGAAAACTAACAGAGCCCTATTCATCATGGAGTATTGTCTGGTATAAGAAGACAGAAGTCAACCAAATCATCATACAAGTCCATATTAATTAAATATTTTGAAAGAAAAGTATATTTAACTGTAACAGTAGAGGATAGGGAGACCTACTCTATTTAGAGGGAACAACATGTACCAGGGCTGAATGGTGGAAAGAAATGGGAAACTTTTAAGGAATTAAAAGAAGACCAGCGAGAAGCAGGTGTGACTGGAGACGTAGGCAGGGATGATCCTGCAGGGTCTTTGTAAGCCATGTTTTGGTTTGTAATATTTGTAGTTGAGTTTCCCAGTTTTCATTCCTTAATTTTAGATTGTTTACAATTTGGTTTGGAAATTCCCTCCCTTTGTAGTCTTTAAAACTTCCTCACATGTTGGCGTCCTATGAGGTGAGGTTTGAATTTTGGAATATCAACAAATAATGAAACGCTAGTCCTAGGCTTCTTAGTTGTCTCCCTCTCCCTAGGTTGTATACCACAGTAAGAACTCATCTTTTGGTTTTGCCTAAGGGTTAGTGTTGTGGCCTATGCTGTGGTCACATGAGCCAGTTACATATTCTTGCACAATGCAAAGGCTGTCTGTGCAGATCTGGCCAGAGTTTGCTGTCCTGGTAAATAAGCTGCCCTTTTCCATTGGCTAGCCTGCGATGTGAGTCTTTGCTGTACCTGAGGCTGTTCAAACTGAAGAAGGAAAATGCTCTGAAGTACTCAAAGACACTGACAGAGCACCTGAAGGTAAGTATGCAAAAGTGCAAGGTACATTTCTTAGGAGACAAAATGTGTCGTCTCCTGTCCTCACCCCAGAACTGTCCTTATGTTTATGCAAAACCCAACAGGGGAGGACCTACTGTTTGGGACCTTTCAGATAAGTTTGAGGCTTCTTTGAGTTTTTTAATATATGTGTATTTCATTGTAGAACTCTTGTAGCCACATGCAGCCGCTGTTTTTAGATTTTTCTAATGATCTTTTATTTTTATGCCATTGTTTTTTGACTACTATCTTAGTTTCCTAAAAGATTTTCCTGTGTTTCTTCAGGCTAACACCACATAAATCCTCCTAAGATCTGCCTCTGATTATGACTTGTAACCCTTCAGTAGTTGCCTACTGGGTCAAGTTTAAATTCCTTAACCTGGTCCCAAGGTCTCTCTCTATTTCTTGCCTAAACTTCTGCTTTAGGCAAACTGTATGGGGCACATACATTGTCTTTTCTGCAGCCTTTTGTGCTTAGTATGATTCACTTCTCCCCTGTCCCCCTGCCCAGACTCCCCCCTCCTTTTTTTAAGAGGGAGTTTTAAAGAAAATGATCATGGCTTACTGTAGCTACTCCCTGGCAGTTGGGAGTAGCTGGGACTTATTCCCCTTCCCTTCATCCATGTGTTCCTCATTCTTTCCTTGCCTCTTCTGTGAGTCTTCCAGAACACCCCAGCTCTCACCTAATAATTTTTTTTGTACATTTACACACACACACATGCATGCACACACGCATGTATATTTGTTGTCTTAAACTTTTAAAGCTCCTTAAGATCAACTCTGGCCCAATGCTTTCAGATATATTTAGAACTTTATAAAGTAGTGGTAGTTTTTGCTGTTGTTAAGTATATTTTACTTTTTCCACAGAATTCTTACAATAATTCTCAAGCACCATCGCCTGGTTTGGGAAGGTAGGTGAAATTGTATTATGTAAAATTTGTGGCAAATTAATAAAAGTAAAATGAGGCCAGGCATGGTGGCTCACACCTATAATCTCAGCGCTTTGGGAGGCCAAGGCGGGTGGATCACCTGAGATTAGGAGTTCAAGACCAGCCTGGCCAACATGGTGAAACCCTGTCTTTTAAAAATAAATAAATAAAAGTAAAATGAGTTCGGTCCAATTTCTACAAAATGGAAAGATGATTACTTTTTAAATAAGTAAAACTCTCTCTGATAAAATATTTTTAGAAGTTAGAATTTTTTCTCTGTATTTTTTGTGAATTGGAAATATGAATGAACATAATCATGAAGATTAGATATGAGACATTTCACCTGCAGAAATCTGCGTTTTTACTAGCACGCAATCCTTTTCACAGTTTCGTTTCCATAGTTACTTGGACTTATCACAGTGGGCTTATCTTTAGCCAAATCTTGGCACTGTCAGAATTTAGTAACAGTGACATGATTGTGATTTCTTCTCCATCCCCACATCACTCTCATCTCACCCATCTCTCAAAGGATGAAAAACACCATGGAACCTTTTTTATTTTGTTTATCTGTTCAGTTATTATGTTTATATGAATTGACATTCTGTCTTTGCCTGTATGTATTTTCTTACATAAGTTTATAATGTTAAAAGTGCAGATAAAAATACAAACAAGCCAGGTAAGGTGGCTTATGCTTGTAATCCCAGCACTTTGAGAGGCCAAGGCGGGTAGATCACAAGATTAGGAGTTTGAGACCAGCCAGGCCAGCATGGTGAAACCCTCACCTCTACTAAAAATACAAAAAATTAGTATTAATAATTTATGATTAAAAATTTAAAAATTTATGATTTTCCCCCAACTTTTGATTTTTCCTTTCTTTCAGTGTGTGATCATAGTCTTGAACATTTCACAAATTTTAGTACTCCTGAAAGGAACCTGCCAGATTTCAACATGCCTGTTTTCTAAGAAATATTTAATTGGCAGGAAGCTTGGATGATTGCAGTTGCTTGAGAGAGCTGTACCTCTTTGTCAGCTGAGTAATTTGGTTAAACTAGGAAAGTGTCAGAAATTATGAAGTTCAATAAAAGATGTTCCCATCTTCTACCACAGTTTTTTAGGTTAAATGTGAATTCCACCAAACTTTGTACAAAACAGTATGAAAAGTACGTAATTATATTCCTGAATAGATGGAAAATGTTGAGCAGAGAGTAAGAGGATCTGGCTTTTAAGTCTTTGAACTGTCACAAGGTATATGACTTCTTCAGTTATCTTCCATCTCTTGTTGTTTTGTTGTCATTCATTATAACAAAAGGTATAGATTCTAAGATAATAAGATTATGAGTTGCAAGGTTATAATACTTATTTAGAAGAAATTGTAGTTCTCTGCAAACCCCTCTAGTTTAAGAGAATGTTGGCTGGGCGTGGTGGCTCACGCCTGTAATCCTAGCACTTTGGAAGGCCAAGGTGGGTGGATCATGAGGTCAGGAGATCGAGACCATCCTGGCTAACATGGTGAAACCCTATCTCTACTAAAAATATTTTAAAAATTAGCTGGGCATGGTGGCAGGCGCCTGTAATCCCAGCTCCTCAGGAGGCTGAGGCAGAAAATTGCTTGAACCCAGGAGGTGGAGGTTGCAGTGAGCCAAGATCATGCCACTGCACTCCAGCCTGGGTGACAGAGCGAGACTGTCTTAAAAAAAAAAAAAAAAAGAATGTTTATATTTTTAAATGCTTTCATGTAGAAAGAGCTAGTAGTACTTGATTTTATAATGTTCACCATGTCCATATGAACAAGCTTCCTATTTCTGTTGTATAGCAAAGCTGTGGGGATGCCTTCCCCTGTTTCTCCAAAGCTGTCACCAGGCAATTCAGGAAATTACTCATCTGGGGCCAGTAGTGCTTCTGCAAGTGGTTCTTCAGTGACCATTCCACAGAAGATCCACCAGATGGCAGCCAGCTATGTTCAGGTCACATCCAACTTCCTCTATGCCACCGAAATTTGGGACCAAGCTGAACAGCTTTCCAAAGAGCAAAAAGGTAGGTTGCTTTCTGAATAACTTCGAGGGATGGAATTGTTAAAAGGAACGGTTACAATAAACTGAAAATAGTTCTTGGTCTAAGATAAATGTGCCTCTATTCTAGCACATTAAATGCAGCTCATACCATAAAAGTAATAAAATATATGTCCTACTCTATGATACTTAACAGTAAGTTTGGCAGTAGGCATAGGATTACATCCAAACATCTGTACATCTAAGAAGTTTAATGTATAAGAAAGCATATTCATACTGGATTTTTAGGTTTATTGGAAGAAACCCATGAAATAAAAGAGACTAGGAAATGAATAGAATTCTTAACATTCTTTAAAATTAGGTTGGTTGAGGCTTTGACCCTTAAAAGTTTCTTATTTCCCAAACTAAGGATATTGAGAATTATAAAGTCTTTGAAGAACTTAGTGGAAAGTACTGTATAAACACCATTTTATTTTAGTAGATGTTATTAACAAATATGTGCTTGCAGCTTCTCTTTAGGCAGATTCTTTGTGGAGAAACACTATATTAGCCGGTCAATCAAGTGTCCTTTTGTCACAGAGTACATTTAAATACTTACAGTATGAACAGTTAATCAGATGAAAATGAAAGATTCCTATTCGTAAGAGAGGTAATGGTGAGAGAAAAGTAAAAGTGGAATCCCAACCTTTTTTTTTTTTTTTTTGGGAGACAGGGTTTTACTCTGTCACCCAGGCTGGAGTGCAGTGGCACAGTCACAGCTCACTGCAGCCTCTACCACTTGGGCTCAAGCGATCCTCCTTCCTCAGCCTCTTGAGTAGCTGGGACTGCAGATGGGTGCCACCATACCCAGCTAATTTTTCTACTTTTTGTAGAGACAAGCTCTCATTATGTTGCCCAGGGTGGGAATCCCAATATATAACAAAAGTTGTATTTATAAAAATACTATTTGTGGCCGGGCATGGTGGCTCATGCTTGTAATCTCAGCACTTTGGGAGCCCAAAGTGGGTGGATCACCCAAGGTCAGGAGTTAGAGACCAGCCTGGCCAACATGGTGAAACTCCATCTCTACTAAAAAAATATGAAATTTTTTTGTATTTTACATTTGGCTGAGGCAGGAGAATCGCTTGGACCCAGGAGACAGGGGTTGCAGTGAGCCAAGATTGCACCAGCCTGGGCAACAGAGGGAGACTCCTTCTTAAAAAAACAATAAATGAATAAAAACATAGGGTAGTTACCAGTTGATTCATGGCATATGATTCTAGCTGAAAGTTTGATACAGTCTTAAGTGTCTAACCTCACAGAGGCTGCTACAGGAAACATACAAAGAACATCTTCCTTTTTGTATCACTTGCTTCTTATACAAAAACAATACACAAAATGTTTTGCATAATCAGTAGCACATTGTGGCCCTAGGTCTTCATTTTAATAATATTTACTGCATAATAGCCCTTTATCATTTCCATTTGTGGAATCCTGCGTATACATATAACACTTAATTTTTGACCATACATTCTGTTTAAAATGTGCATGACCTAGGGAACAACTATAACTTGAGAGACTGTGGAATGATTTGCTCTAAAACATGGACAGTAATCATTTTAGTGTGGGAGGAGGTATTTTTTCAGTTTATATGAATGCTGTTTTATAATCTCTACTCAAAATTTTAAAGCAGTGATTCAAAGGAGTATATATCATTTAATGAATATTTTTGGTTTTCCAGAATTCTTTGCTGAACTGGATAAAGTAATGGGTCCTCTCATCTTTAATGCAAGCATCATGACAGATCTAGTTCGTTACACCCGGCAGGGACTGCACTGGCTTCGCCAGGATGCCAAGTTGATATCTTGAACTGAACACATTCTCGTTGCCTCTGATTTTCTCCACAACACTGTGTCACATCACGAAGGAAAACTGCCATAACATACCACCTAGTCGACACTAAGAATGAGGAATAGTTTTCTCCTCGTTGGTTCATGTGTTGTTGTTTTTTATAGTCCAAAGCCATCATGTCAGTTGGCCCCTTTAATATTTCCAATGTGAAAAATTATTTAAATGCTTTTAAATCTGCAGCACATTGATAAGATGGTTTCCATGAGCTATAAGATTGAAATTCCAGTTGCAATTCATAACTAATGAATTGAAATTTTATTTATTTTAATTTTTTTTAAGTTCCCAGACTGGGGCTAGTTTAAGACTTAGTTTGTTGAATATTTAGCATAAATTTAATGTAGACATTTTTATTTATATACATTGGGAGCTTTATTACCTAATGTCTTTTTGTGGTAGCTGTTCTAAGAGTAAGAATTGGTTCATCTAAAATAAGGACATATTCTTTCTATACCTACTACCTGATAATTGAAATGATAACTCCCATTTTATTATTGTGGAATTTACAGTTAGTATTAAGGATATTCTTCTATACATGAAAAATCACTTAAATGTGAGAGAATGGCATTCTACATGTATGTAATATGAAATGTGTCTGATTTGGTATGCATTATTTCAAAAACTGTGAATGTGTGTTAATAACACTACAGCAATCACAAGGTGACTATAACTTGCATTTAATGCATTACAAAAGAGGGTGGGCAAACTTTCTAGAAGAAGCATTTCATGTTAAAGGTTTTCATAAAAGGACAATCCTGAACTTTATGGATTTTATTAAAACCATATGTTCTTTTTTGTTGCTAATCATTTGACACTTAATCAAAACAGAATAAGTACTGAGGGTTGCTGCCTATGTGTCTTTGATAATCTTTGATGGTTAGAGTTATTTTTCAGATTTTTTCCCCCTCATACTGAATTGTGATGCTCTGATATGAGCATGCAGTGACTGATACGGAAATAGGCTGGAGGTTTGGTGTGTGCTTTTGCTATACAACTTACAGTTCTAATGCCTGATGTAGAGATGATGAATTTCTTCTTTTTAAACCTATCTTATGTTTACTCCTTTTGTATTATGAAGGCCCTCTTCAATGATGTATGTTTCTGATGGAATCAGAAAATTTCACTCTAGACAAGTGTACCTAACTTGTTCAGTGTGAGCTCTCGGGATGGGGAGGGGGCCAGGGGTAGAGCTTAAGAAGCCGGCTCTGTAAGAGTTGTATATCAAAGTACCTTCTGCTACAAGGTGCATATAGAAGTCAAAGGTAAGAAATGTACCCTCTGTACTTTATTTTTCATGCCCCTATCATGTTTGGTGTGCCTTAAATCTTACCTTTAAATGAAGACTATGGATTGTTTACAAATGAAGTTTTACACTAGGACCAGATCGTCCATACATGATTGGTCTTCTACAATAATAATGTTAAATTCTCTTTCATTTTAAATCTTTCTTTAGGGTCACAGAAAGATTAGTTCTTTGAGAAAAGCTATTGCTTTGGTACATGACTTAGTCTGACCAATTGGGTAATGCTGCTTTGAAAAATAGTTTGTCCCTCTCCCCATTCCAAAAATGAATCTCTCTAGTCAGAAAAAAAAAGATTATCCTACTATTTGTAGATGATTGCTAAGGCCTGAAATAGGAAAGTGGAACGAAGGGATAGAAAAGCTTCAAGTCCCGTGGTGCAGTGAATCCTTTGAGTTTGAGTCTTTTTTACACTTAGTTCTGAAGGTGAACTTACATTGTCCTTGTGGCCTCATATTTATAGAGCTTCTTAACTGTTTTGTACCTCAGATTGTTTTTAGATATCATTGAAGATTGAGATGTACAAATTATGTTGAATTTAACCCGTTTCCCTTGGAGAAATTGCCTCTGATATGTTTCTAACTTAATCTTAGTGTGTTCTAGGAACAGTTTTCCATAAGAGGACAACTTCTCAGCGATCATGATAGTTCTTTAGTAAGAAATAGTGGTTGTTAATCAAGTACATGTATGTCTTGTCCTTCTCTGACTTCTCTGACTCCGATTCCTTAACTCGCAGTATTGTCTTAGAAATGGAAAAAGTATCCTCTGGGCTTTCAGACTTTCAGCAACAATAGCCAGTGGGATACCTCTAAGTTCTAGTGTGTTCTAGTCTCTTGTATGTCCTGAAAGGCAGCAGGAGCATTTCTGGGGTCACACTGATTATTTTGTTAAAGCAGAGTTTCCTGCATGGTTTATGGTGCTGCTCTAATATTTTCTCTTTAAACTGTGTTAATTTTTGGAGAATGACTTTTTCAATCTTTTCATTGTGGAGGGTTTTTCCCACAAGGTTGTAATGGGCAATGAATAGAAATCCTATCGTAAATGATTGAATATTCAGTGTCATAGTGTGTGGAAATACTCCCTTTCCTTCACATCTGTCTTCTTAGATGTTCTGTCTGTCATCATCTGCTCCGGCACATACTTTGGACTCCTTTACAGGTGACCATTCCTCCCTCCTCAATAGGTGTCCTCAGTATTTTCTAACCATTTAAAACTGAATTTGACAAGTGGCTAAAAACTTAAGTCTGAGACTTGTACTTAACATGTGGTTAATTATAGAAATAACAACTATTTTAACAATTACTCTCTTGATTGCTCTTTATGACCACACTTGTATGCCAGGAGGCAGCAGCCTATACAGCATTGGACTCTTTGCAAGCAACCAACGAACCAATTGCAATGGATGCAGTTGTCACAGTAGTCTTGCCTGAGCCAGACTGGGCTGGGCTATGGGGAGCATTCTCCTTCAGGGGAGTTTCCACAGCTCAGCCCAGGCTCCAGTCTGGTTAGAGAGCATCCAGCCCATTCCTTGCCTCAGTGCCACCTTTTTCTGGGCAAGTGCTTTATACACAGTGAGTACTTCAGATACACTTACAGCCGTAGCTGCCGAAGAGTGGAGAAGGTTGACCACCATTGATTTAATTCTCTAGTGTGAAAGCAATTTAGAGCAGTGTGTGCACGAACCCACAGATGTCTGTGTTTCTGGGAGCTCTCGCAGTGGTGGATTCATAGGCACCTGGGCTGCACTTTGAGTGACACACTTGTGGCTTTATTAGATTCACTGGTTTTTAAAAAATTGTTGTTCGTTTCTTTTCATTAAAGATTTAATCAGCCAGATCAGGCAGCATCATTTTGTGTTTAATGACAGAAACTTTGGTACATTTTTTCATGAATGAGCTTGCATTCTGAAGCAAGAGCCTACAAAAGGCACCTGTTATAAATGCAAGTTCTGGCTCTAGAGGCCAGTACTCTGTGGAGTTTCAGAGCAGCCAGTGATTGTTCCAATCAGTGATGCCTAGTTATATAGAGGAAGGGTACACTGTGCACTCTTCTAGGTGTAAGGGTATGCAACTTTGGATCTTAAAATTATGTACACATACACACTTTATATATATGTATGTATGTATGTATGAAAACATGAAATTAGTTTGTCAAAAATGTGTGTGTTTAGTATTTTAGCTTAGTGCAACTATTTCCACATTATTTATTAAATTGATCTAAGACACTTTCTTGTTGACACCTTGAATATTAATGTTCAAGGGTGCAATGTGTATTCCTTTAGATTGTTAAAGTTTAATTACTATGATTTGTAGTAAATTAACTTTTAAAATGTATTTGAGCACTTCTGTAGTGTAATAGGGCTCTTACAGGGTGGGAAAGATTTTAATTTTCCAGTTGCTAATTGAACAGTATGGCCTCATTATATATTTTGATTTATAGGAGTTTGTGTCTGGGTCCCAGGAACATCTTCTGGGGATGACTGTTAGGCAGCTTGTGATGATGTTTTTTTTTAAAAAAAAACCTAAGTAACTTGGGGAGCCAGAGCATTTGAAACCCATATAGACACCTATCATACCTATATATCCCCTAATACATGGAACATAAATTTTATTTCAACTTTATTCATTAATGTGTTGAAGAGGCAGGCTTTTTTCCAGTAATAATATTGCACATCTAAGGTTGCTATTCAGTAAAATTAATAGAAGAGATCATTATTGAATGCCTTGGAATATGTAGTGACGAGGCCAAATTGTTCATGTTTGTGAGCATGTCTTTCAGATACTCACTAATGGAGAAATTCATTTTAGACCTCTAGGCTGGGTGCAGTGGCTCATGCCCGTAGTCACAGCACTTTGGGAGGCTGAGGTGGGTGGATGAAGGTGGAGATCAAGACCATCCTGGCTAACACGGTGAAACCCCGTCTCTACTAAAAATACAAAAATTAGCCAGGTATGGTGACACGTGCCTATAGTCCCAGCTACTCGGGAGACTGAGGCAGGAGAATAATTGCTTGCACTTGGGAGGTGGAGGTAGCAGTGAGCTGAGATTGTGCCATTGCACTCCAGCCTGGGCAACAGAGCAAGACTGTCTCAAAAAAAGTAAATAAAATAAAATAAACCTCTAGACCCCAAAACCAAGTTAGCAAGCAATAAAAAGTAAATTATTAATAGTAAAGTGGATGCTGGTCTTACAAAGCTCCTATTCACATGAACCCAAAGGTTAATTAAAAGAACTTGCTGTCTCCAGAAAAGGGAATGGAAATAATAACTATATATCTTCTTTTCATGTAATTTGGTCACAGAATAAGGTATTCGAGTTAAGTCTAATCCAAGTCTTAGAGATCTTTAAGTATCTTAAAATAGCAGCCTAAGTAGTCATCATGTAAAGAAGTTGACTTTCAGGAATGTCAGCATTGACCTCTCCTTGCCACTGTTACTCAGCTAAGCATAACTTGCCATTCTTAAAAAAAAAAAAAAAAAAAGCTCTCTAAATGAACGTGGAAAAAAAGCTCCCACCCAGAAATTCTAGTAATACTCAGTTTTGACCTCTTACTGCTTCCATGTGGGATTTCTTTTCAGCTTTTAACCATTAGCATTCTCTACCTGCTATGTTCCTCTCTGGAAAATATCAATTTGGAAATGCTGCCTTTCAAATCAATGCCATGATTATCCGTATTGTTGAGTTTGTTGTTGCTGTTCCAGAAGTGTCCCCATTTTACAACTTTATGCACACACCTGGCAAATCATTGACATGAGCATTCAACAGTACTGGGATGGGCGGGGTGGGGGGTGGGGGGCTCACCAACAGAACTGGCCCAGCTGACATTGCCTGAAAAGGCACCATCTTTGAGGGCCAGTTGTGGGGTTGGTAAGCACAGTTATGAAAATTTCTATCTAACCTCCGTTTTGAATGGTTTTAAGAAATTTTGTATATGGAGGATGGAAATGCTTATATATTTATTGAAAATCCTTTTATTTGAAATTAAAATTATTTGGTAAATAATTGTTTGATATTTTGGGAGGGTTTTGGAGGGGTGGTAATTTCACTGATAAATTAAAAGTCTGTTGATTTTGCAGAAAGGTACTGTTAGTGACTGATAGGATGCCTTTGTTTTGTACATGATCCAAATCTTTGTTTTACATTTCTTTTATTCAAAATATTTAGGCATCTGACATTTTCAACCAAAATTTTAATTATATACTGTGATTTTTATTTGTTGCAATACATTAAAATTTCAGAGGTACTTTGGGGCTCAAAAGCTAGGATTTCTAAGTCAGTATGTGCATTTCACATGATAAAGCTGTTAATGGTGAGCAAAGTATTATATACTAACTAGATTTTTCCACATCTGTATAGTATATTATATGTATTTTGTGGTATTGAGAGTATAGAAAGTTTAGAGTGTCAAACATGCGTTTAATGTGTATTTTTAAACAAATTTATGGCAATTAAAATATTTGGAGACAAGGGTATCACATTTCAATTTGTAAAGATCTTTTTAACTCTACTGTGTCATTAAGATGCTTTGTACAATGCCAAACCATAGCTGGAGAAACTAAGTTTAATAAATATCAAATAGATTTTCTGTATTAAAGTTAATGAACACTGTGCTCTTTATACTTCTTCAGCTCTGAGCCCTTTTCATGCAATTCGTGTTTTGTGTCTTCAGGTCTGTTACTACAAAGTCTATTCCTGCCAGCTTGAGGTCTCATTTTCTGATTACAGAAATTCTGAACTTGCTGGCCATGGGTCGTTGTGCTTATGTCAAAATTTACCGTGTCCCAGCAGAAATCTTAAGTCCCTTTTGGTGCTTTTGGTGGCTTGGGCTTTTACTGCTTTATTAAACTAGATTTTTCTTTTTGTTCTCCCTTACATTCAGACAGTCATAGACAAACTTGGGTGTTTGTCTTAGATGGCAAGTGCCAAGCTTGACCATCTTTTTTTTTTTTGACACAGAGTCTCGCTCTGTCACCCAGGCTGAAGTGCAGTGGCGTGATCTCGGCGCACTGCAACCTCCACCTCCCAGGTTCAAGTGATTCTCCTGCCTCAGCCTCACAAGCTTGACTGTCTTTGACACCTCCCTGAAGAGTTATCATGGAGTGAAGGGATCTAGGGCTACAACTTAGGAACTTGTCAAAGCTGATTACATAGCTGTTGCTAAACTTTTGCCTTTAATCTACCATTGTGTTCTTTATAAGATTCTTGAAAAAATGTTAACTCTAACCACACTTTGCAAATCGAGAAGTTAACACGTTATTGGGTAGTGCTCTTTTTTACTGTAGTATACAAAGTGAATCCTTTTTCCCTCCAAAGCTTGAATTCCAGACTGCTAAAATTTCAATTGGAGACATTTAATAGTATCCATAGAAAAATAAACTCTAAAGTGACAAGTTTAGTTATGCTTATCCATATATCAACATTCTAAGAAGAAATGGAGACCAATTTAAAGCATACATCTGCCTTTAAATATTAAAAATACAAGATTGCTTCACTTGTATGTCTCCAGCCAAAATGCAGTTAATCAATATTCCATAGAACGGAGCATTGTCAGAGTTGACTGCTATCCTTTCTTCCCCTGGTAGGTACTTCATTCCTGAGCCACACTTAAGGAACAACGTCTTTTTCTAGGGGAAAAGAAAAGGCAGTTTTTAAGACTGAGTCTAGGAGTGACCAGGGCCACCTCTGTTGCATTTCCCTCTTCTCTTGTTCTATTTAGTCTCAAGAAAGACTGAAGAATGGAAAGTCACCAATCTTTCATGGTACCCATGTGGAGCTGTTCTTGGCTCCTAACTCCTAAGGGATTTTCCATGGAGCTCCCAGTGTCAGCCCAAAACTCCTCCAGCCCAGCTTTATTCTTAGGTTTATGTGTCCCTGCATCACTCCTCTGCCCAGCTTCCCAGGGCTCTCTGGCCCAGTCCTGCTCCTAGGTTCGTGGCGTACCTGCATAGCCTTGTGATACACTCAGAATCATCCCGGCAGGAGGCTCCAATAGGTCTGAGGGAAACCCCTCTCCAAAATGGGGTCATTCTCCGTGGCCTTCTCTTTGCTGAACTCACTTCTGGTATTGGGGAGCCATTTATCTGTAGAGCAAAGACATCCAGACATGGAAGTGTTGACACCCTGCCGCACACCTTGGAAGAATGATCATTCCCCAGATGCTGTAGACTCAGAACAGAGGAACCATTCCTCAGGACTGAGTCTGGCTTTCAAGTTCCACTTACAGTTCCACCACCACTATCATCTCCACACTCCACACACACACACATATCCGTCCCTCCTTACCTGGCCCAACAGTAACAAGAAGATCATGAGCACAGCACAAAGTTTGAGGTGCCACATCTTGACAGAGACAGGATGTTAGAGCCTGAAAGCCAGGGACAGTTCCTCCTTCCTTTTATAGACTCACATTGACTCTTGCATTGTTACTGGGTGAGATGGGGGCAAAGTTTATATTTGTAATCAGAATCAATTTAATAAGTTAATGTCTACCAGAGGAATGTGCCCAAGGGCCACCTTTCAGGCACATTGTATTTACTGATCCCTCATCTGGACTTTGAGTGATTGTGTTGCTGGCATGGACCCTTTCGCCCATTTTACCAAAGTCAGCACTGCCCCTCCTTCCCTTTGAAAGCCACGTGAAACCATTGAGGGAGATCAGGCAACTAGCCACATTTCTATTCCAAAATAGCTCAGTGAGATCACTCCCAATAAAAATAGAATTCCAATAATGAAGTCTTCAGAAATAATGTTGACCCCCTTCAGCCTTGTCTAGGAAAGAAGAACTGATCTGTTGTGTACAGGCAATTAGGATAAGGCCTTTATCTCCTTTCTATGGGAGGATGCTTCAGGAAGGTCTGCAGTTCCCCACCTCTCCACTTGCTTAGATGAACTATCACCCGAATCTGCACCAATTCATCTCACTAGTAGAATGAAGACCTAGGTATGGAAATTTCAAAGTCTGGCTTCCTGCCCTCTCAGGGTAATGGCTGGATGTGAGAATTATTTGGACCACAGGTGAATTGAATAATTACAGGTTTCTTTTTGTCTTTAAGCACATGTAGATGAGGAAGTAACAAGATCTCCTAAAGCAGAGGGAGAACTTGTGTAGTGACTATATTAAAAGCCTTGAATTATGGGCTTTCTTTCCAGTAGTTGAGTGAGGCCTTTCTTTCCGGCTGCTTCAGGGCAGCAGGCACAGGGATGAGATACCTCCAAAGCCCAAAGCATTCATCAGTTTAAGTAGGAACTGCTGTCGATTTCTAGACGAAGGGAGTGCTCTACTGAGACAAAGGGAGGACATGTATCTAAACCGTGAGTAGTTCCGGGTACCTGTGAAATGGCATGGACATTTTAAGTTTGAGCAGAAAGGTGTGAATTTTGAGTAAGGAGATTCATTGGACTTTAGATCTTTCTATGACCTGGGAGGATAATAAGCTTAAGACAAATACAACAAATTCTATCTGCCAGGCATTGCACTGAAAACTTGGCTAATACCTCTTCCCAAGGCCTTTCTCATCTTCGTAGGTTGGGTGTTTGGATAAGAATCTGCTTGTTCCTTTACCCCAGGAAAAAGAGGAGATGCACAATAGCTGAAGGTATTAAAGGATGGCCACTGGCCCTGCTATCAGGCAGATGGAGCTTCTTGCCAAGGGAGAAGCAGATGGTTTGATGGACCTCCGAGCTGGAATTGGGCAGGATGTGACCACAGATCTGACTGTCCTGGTTTTAGTCCTCTCAGAATCATGGAGCCAAGCCTTGAGTGGGATGTCACTGTTCGCACCTTAGTAACATTGAGAAAAGACCTATATACTAACTAACCAGTTTAGACAAGTTAGCTGCTCTCTCCCTTCATCCCTGAGCTTGGATACTGGATGATCCCAGCTAGGGGCCTAACTGGGAACTTTTGTGGGGTGGGGAAGTGGCTATGTGTGCTGACCTAATGAACATTGGGTAAGAACACAAATGTGATTAGATAAGCAAAAGACTGAACAACGTAATGTCCTAGAGCCAGTTGGGTCTGTGGACTCAGTGCCAGCCTCCCCTTCACCAGTCTAGAGTGACGTGCCAAACGGGATTTGGAAACTGCTCATCCAAAAGATGAGTAATTACTCTAATTCTCCATTTCTGCCTTCCTGTACTTCAAACAGGATCAAACTAGCCTGTTGTGTTAATTTGTAAAGCCGATAACATCATCAAGGAAAGAGCTTAAAGCCCTTGGCCCTCTCTGTGTAGGGTGAAAAGACTTCATCCTCATGAGTGTGGCAACACTGCAGAGGCCTTTGGTTCAAGCCTCTATGTTCTATGCCGCCCTCTCCCCAAAAGAGGAAACCATTAGTTACTGTCTGTGGAAGGGGAATGTATTTCAACATATATCTACATGAACTCTGTAGTTGTTTTAGTTACGTATGGAGCAAAAATCAAACACAAAGCAACATCCAGGCAGCACTTAGCTGAATTGACAGCATTTGTCCACAGCCATCCCATACTTGAGAGACTGTGAAGGCCTCTTCTTGAAATTAAAAAAAAATTCATGGACTCTACAATCAATTATTTTGCTCAGCGAATATACACATAACTACATAACTATATGCACCTTCCTCCCATAGGAAGGCCTAAGTAGGCTTTAACAGTTTCAGCTGTAAGAAGATAGAATGTTTGGCTGGGAAGCAGTAGCCTGGGGTCTAGAGTGCAACTGCCCATAAGCCAGCCCTTCCCCTCTTTGGGCTTTAGTCTCCTGTTCTTTCACTTTGGGGGTTCAAACGATTAATTTACAAGAAAATGAGACAAGCAGATTTGATAGCTGAGAGCTTGGTAACTCTGGATACAACTCTACAGAGATTGTATGATTCTGAGGCAAATGCCTAGGATGAAATAGGAGAAAGAGGGTGTAGATACGTGAGCAGCTGCTTGAAACACATTCCAGGTAAATCAGTAGGAGTTGGCAGTAATTGGAAACTTTTTTTGCTGTCCCTAACCAGAAGGTACCCAATAAAAGATGAAAGACCCTGAAATAGAAAAACTTTTCCAGGTAAAATTTCAACAATGGGTCAAAGTGTATTTGCTTTTTTGCTGGCTGGAACTGGCATAGACTTTTGGGCCTACCCTAAGCCTGCATTTTGAGGACTGTTGGCAAACTAAAAGAGCAAGGGCATTCCTTTCACCAGACTCTGCAGCCCGTAGATAAAAGCACTTGTGGGGACAGGAACATTTGGAGAAAGAAAGGTTAAATGGAGCAAGTGGTTGTGCCAGAGTAGCAAGTAAAGGCTCAACACCCAGGGCCGGAGGCTCTGGATGGGCTGCTGGCACTGAAGCCCACAGCAGCTGTCCTCTCTTAAAAAGGCTTTACTCAGATCCTCCTCAGGATTTCTGCAAATAGAATGTCCCCTAAAATGATCCCAGATGATGTATAGGAGCACTAAGCTGCTAAAACTCACCACTTTCCACACACCTAATACCTCAGCACACCCGCCACACAGGTGAGATCCATGCCCCCAGACTTAGAGAGGGAAGCCCCTTGGTGAGACATAGGCGTAAAGCAGATTAGTTTCATGCAAAGCAGAAGCTCCACACATCACAGGACTAACGGCAGAGTCATCTCAGTAGAGCATTCCTGGAATAAAAAGGAGGCTCGGTGCCTGGTTTAGGCTGAGAAAAGGGGTTTGGATCTTTTGAGCTGGTCTCTCCAAAGAAGTCAAAGAACCAGGGAGAAATAGTCTAAGTGTAGGAAGGCAAGCAAGACGGGAGAGGGTGGCTGTCTACTTTGGAGGCTTGGGGCAAACATCAGGGGGTGAAAGACATTAACGGCCTCCCAAAGCAGTGGTCCTTTCCTGGGCCGTGAATTTTTTGAAGCTATTCAAGGTAAGTAAGGGTCCAGTTTCCTCAGTCTGTGACCCAAATATGTTACAAGACCTGGGAATAAACCTGGACCGAGAGGCAAACGGGAAAATTGGTCTGTCTTTCGGGGGTGGAAGAGTAACTTGGTTATCCTGTGTTAACCCTGTACCACTTTGCCAGACATTTGTCATTCATTTCACCATCACCACACCCCAAGAACTTTATATTAATAGTTCCATTTTATGGGCGAGAAACTTAGGCTCATGAAGGCAGGTTTCTTGCCTATATCACACAATGAGGAAGTGATGGGCTAAGAGGATAAGCCCAAGACTCAACCTTCTCCCCATATCCTGCCTCAGTGTAGTTTATCTTTTAGGTTTTGTTTGAAGTCTTGCTCTGCCACCCAAGCTGGAGTGTGGTGGCACAATCTCTGCTCACTGAAACCACCACCACCTGGGTTCAAGTGATTCTGCCTCAGCCTCCTAAGTAGCTGGGATTACAAGTTTGCACCACTACACTCAGCTAATTTTTGTATTTTTAGGAGAGAGATGGGGTTTCACCATGTTGGCCAGGCTGGTCTCAAACTCCTGACCACAAGTGATCCACCCACTTCAGCCTCTCAAAGTGCTGGGATTACAGGCATGAGCCACCGAATCCAGCCGTGTTTTGAAGTATCTTTTGATTGTTAAAAGGCAATAGCAGTAATTAGGATAATAAACATACAGTCTGAGCCAGAGTAGAAGTTGCTGCTAGCAGAAGTGTCTTTAGAAGAGTTTCTGTAAACAGATCTCAGATCTCGTATTATGTACTGTACTGACTGAGCTATGACAACTCACCGTATTCCACATAACCACTACCCCAGGTAAGATCCGTGCCCCCAAGCTTAGAGAAGCCTCTCTGAGGGACTAGAGCAGGCGTCCCCAAACTACGGCCCACGGGCCGCATGCAGCCCCCTGAGGCCATTTATCCGGCCCCCTGCCGAACTTCAGGAAGGGGCACCTCTTTCATTGGTGGTCAATGAGAGGAGCACAGGACGTGGCAGCCCTCCAACGGTCTGAGGGACAGTGAACTGGCCCCCTGTGTAAAAAGTTTGGGAACACCTGGACTAGAGGCATAAAACTGCCAACCACATCTACCCCCACCATCTCCTGGTGGGCGAAGAGAAAATGGTATCTTTTCTACCAAAAAAAAGAATGTAAGCGCTCTAGACCAGGGGTTAACTTTTTTTTCATAAAGAGCCAGAGTCATATTTGAGGCTTTATGAACCAGGTATGGTTTAAAAAACTGTTGGCTCCCTGACACAGAAACAGAAAACTTCTGTGGAGGCCAAGAGATCACCTCATCCGTTTTGTAGCTGGCATCCCCTCAGGCTAAGGCCTGCCTTAGCAGGAAAGGGAGTAGAGCAAGCTTGTCCAACCTGCAGCCCGTGGGCAGCATCTGACCCAACAAAAATTGAGTTTTCTTAAAACATTGAGTTTTTAGGCCGGGCGCGGTGGCTCAAGCCTGTAATCCCAGCACTTTGGGAGGCCGAGGCGGGTGGATCACGAGGTCGAGAGATCGAGACCATTCTGGTCAACATGGTGAAACCCCGTCTCTACTAAAAAAAAATACAAAAAAAAATTAGCTGGGCATGGTGGCACGTGCCTGCAATTCCAGCTACTCAGGAGGCTGAGGCAGGAGAATTGCCTGAACCCAGGAGGCGGAGGTTGCGGTGAGCCGAGATCGCGCCGTTGCACTCCAGCCTGGGTAACAAGCGCGAAACTCCGTCTCAAAAAAAAAAAAAAACACTGAGTTTTTGTAATTTTTTTAAAGCTCATCAACTGTCATAGTATATTTTGTGTATGACTCAGGGAAGCTGAAAGATCGGACGCCCCAGAATTAAAGCATAGCTTTAAGAGCATCATCACTTTAGTGCAAGACACCACCATTCACTGCTGTATACTTTCTGGCAAATTACTTAATCTCTGTGACTGTTTCCTCATCTGCAAAAAGAGGATAACACACCAAGTGTGCCTGTGAGGTTTCACAGTTCATTTGTGTGGATAAGGAGAGTACTCGAAGCTGGGCTTTCAGTGGCTCAGACCTGTAATCCCAGCACTTTGCGACACTGAGGCAGGCAGATCACCTAAGGTCAGGAGTTCCAGACCAGCCTGGCCAACATGGTGACACCCTGTCTCTACTAAAAATACAAAAAATTAGCCAGGTGTGGTGGCCTGCACCTATAATCCCAGCTACTTGGGAGGCTGAGGCAAGAGAATTGCTGGAACCCAGGAGGCAGAGGTGACAGTGAGCGGAGATTGCACCACTGCACTCCAGCCTGGGAGACAGAGCAAGACTCTTAGCTCAAAAAAAAAAAAAAAAAAACATCAGCCAGGCACAGTGGCTCACGCCTGTCATTCCAGCACTTTGGGAGGCTGAGGCGGACAGATCACCTGAGGTCGGGAGTTTGAGACCAGCTTGACCAACATGGAGAAACCCCTCCTGTACGAAAAATACAAAAAATTAGCTAGGCGTGGTGGCACATGCCTGTAATCCCAGCTACTCGGGAGGCTGAGGCAGGAGAAAGGCTTGAACCCTGGAGTCAGAGGTTGCAGTGGGCCAAGATTGCGCTATTGCACTCCACCCTGGGCAAGAAGAGTGAAACTCCCTCTCAAAAAAAAAAAAAAAAAAAAAAAGTGTACCAGAAATATAGTAATTACAATATAGTTACTAGACTTTATTGTTGTGGCAGCAGAGGGCCAAGAACCAGCACTTCCCACAGCCCATGTCACCCACAAACGGTTAGCTGCAGCTACTTTCTTGTAGATTACGGAACGAAAGGCGAGCCCTGCTCACACAGGGTCACACAGGATTCTGTGTGTGATTAGGGGTCACACGGGATTCTGTTCACAAAAATGTAAAATCACAACAGTGCAGATCATAGGAAGTTTACTATGTCTTTAAGAGACTACAATGCAGACTCCTCTTCCAGAGAAAGGTCTTTCAGAGTCAGGGAACTGTCATTCGTATGCGTTGCTCATTTGTCATTTTCGTAGTCAGCCGGATTCTTCCTCTTGGATCTCTCAAACTCTTCAGTCCCCCATGTGTAGAGAAGATAAAACCCTATAAACGCTTTAAAAACCAAGAGAGCACACATGTAAGACATAGAGGGAAAAAAAGGTCTTAGTCCTCTTGTTTAAAGTATACACTTCCGTAGTTCTTAGCATATCCACGGCCGTGCAACTATCATCACTATCTGCTGCATGTTTTACAAAGCATTTCACCACTGGTAAGAACTGGATAAAGAAAACCTCAGAGGAACATGCTGGAACCACCCGAGTGACCCTGAGCCAGTCATTTCAGTTCTGTAACTCAGTTTTCCCCGTTTAAGATGGGGAGGATAATATGACCAGCTTAAGGGCAGTCACAAATATTCAACGAGAAAGGTGTGTACTACAAATCACAGAGCGCCTGCCCGACCGCCAGTGCTCAGAGGAGAGCCGCAGTGACAGCTACTGCTGCTGGGGTCCAGCCTCCCGCCCCCGCAGGCCCTGGGCACTCACGCGGCACCACGCGAAGGAAAGACTCCCGAGTGCGGCGCACCACGTTGGGGACTCCTTTAGAGAAGACGTTCGGGAAGGCGCGCTGCTCGAAAGGTGACAAGCTGTAGGAGATCACATGCCGCATTCGCGTCAGATTCCCAAACTGGAGGCCCATGGTGGCGGCGGCCCTGCAGGACCAAGGGCAGACGGGCGCTTGGCTCGCTTTCGCGAAGCGCCGCAGTCCCCGCGGGGGTCTGTCCCCAACCCCAGACGCCTGCCCCTGCACTCCTTATCCTTCCCCAGCCCAGGGAGGGGGGCACCCTTAGCCTCCCAGTGTCCACTAACACAACACAACCAAACGCAACTCACGCGCTGGACTCACCGACCCCACTGCAGTCACCGATTCGGTGGACTCGTTCGTCACTTCCGGTAAGACCGGAAGCCGCTCTTGGAGGACGTGAGGTCGCTTCTGGGAGATACCATTTTCCTGCTGTCTCTAGGGGGTGACGCCTTTGTCCCAGAAAGAAGTGTCCTGACTGGGTGACCCGTACGTGGGCGGTGCCTTGGAGGCCCTCCCTGGGTCGGTGGCTTGGAGCCTAGCGGAGGACGTCGGGGATTGAGCGGGCTTTGGGGAGCAGTGGACAGGCGGAGGCGCTCACACTTCTCAGCCGTCGGCCTTTCTGTGGAGTCCAATCAGAAAGCGGTCGAATGCGGGAGGCGGGTGAGGGGACAAAGAGGTGACAAGGAAGGGGCCTGTCGACCTCGGGGGCCGCGCTGGCCAGGAGCTTGGGGCCTCCGTGTACTCCCGCTGTAGACAGAGCGCCTCTGAGTCTCGAGACCAGGGCACCCCGCAGCAGAGGAGCGCGAGGTTTTATTTGGTCTTGGCCAGTAGCTCAAAGAGGGCTCCGTTATTTTCAGGCCACCAGCAACCCCAGCACCAAAATCAGGGACTCACATCTAAGGCTTTTCTTGGTAACCTCTGTTTTAGAGTCCACTGGCAGGCTGTAAACAGTCCCAAGAGATAATACAAACGTGTCTTGAAATTCAGCCACAAAAATCATCAAATAATCATCAAGCAGTTGATGGAACACTGCGGCTGCGTCGACAGCAGCCAGCCTCCTCCCCAGATGGTTCGCATCGGGTGGGGGGTATCACTATGCCCTGGTTCTTTCCTCTCCCCACCTGAGAAGCAAAGAATGTCGGGTGAGAAGCCTTCTCGTGTTTTCTCTTAAGTGCATTCTGCTTAACGATGCTGTTGTCCTGTGCAGCTGACCATGCGGCGGCTGTCAATGTTTCGTTAGTGGAATTGCTGGCCGTATCTAATCTAGGACCAAACTCTCATTCAACTGTTGAGTGTGTTTTATAACACCGCTTACGGACCGCAGAGGCTCGGCAGGCCGTCTACTTGTATTTTGCAGACATACCTTAATTTTCTCATTCTAGCTACTGCACAGACTGGCTTTGTATCTTGTACTATGAGTGTGAGTTGACTTTCTTCCAGCATAGTCTCCTTCGGGGTGGCGCTGAATATCCCCTCATTTCAACTTTTTGTGCCTTTGCCTCATTTTTCTAAACCATAATGTCTAGCCTGGTCTCAGCTCCAAGGCAAGAACAGAAATACAGGTAAGGACAGAAATGCTATAGCGAATTCTACCACCATTTGAATGAATGATAAAAAATAAAACATTTATTTTATAGCATCTGCAAACATCCCAAAACCTTTCAACCAAAATATGTATAGATGAGTGTGTAGACCAAAGTAAGGACATCAAGATGTTATATTTAAAAATAAATGAAGATTAAAGGCAATGTCCTCTTTTAGGAACATTGCAAATACAATGGCAATACTCCAAGTACATATTCTGTACCCAGCCACCTGGGACGACTGGGAAGTTTTATGCCAATTGTGACTTTCTCCCCCCTCAAATTAACGTGCAGTGAATAATTACATATTGTAAACACCTGGAACTGGAAGAGGCAGTGAGGATAAATTAAGAGGAAGAGTGAAGCTAATACAGTATGTTCGTTGCATGCCAGCAGAACTGTGTCATCGTGAATAATTGGTTAGCTTTTCCACGTGCCTCCGAAGTTTCAGCAATCAGCTAACAAACATTTAGGAATCCAAATTTCTCAAAAATTGAGAGATTTAAGATAATTCCTCAATTTATCTTAGACTTTCAGCTACATAGCTAGCCCAATAGTATAACAATGACAGGTTTTAAGTAAATGGAAGGGGAGAAGAGAGGAAAACTAACCAAATCTCTATCTGATGAATAAATTAGCTGAATAAGGTGTTATCAGCTGCTTGATATAGAGCTGATAAAAATCATCTTCAGCTAGGCATACTTGAGGCCTGATTACAGAGGTGATGCTCTTCCAGCAAGGCCTACTTGAGGCCTGATTACAGAGGTGATGCTCTTCCACCCACACACCTAAAATTTATTTAAGAGACCTAGCTAGGCTCTTCTTGGCTTTTAGGAAGAGGACTGGCATGGAGAAGTATGTTCCTCACTAGTTCTCCCAAGCCATGGCACTTCCCAGCAAATTCCTCCTTTGGTTTTGCTGCTTTGCCTGGCTGTGTTTTCCTATTAGTGCTGGTTCTCAGGCTTCTAGGGGAAATGCTCAGATTGCTGCTAGTGCTGAGTTGGCATCTGAGGCTAAGCCTTGGTCCTTGCTGCAGCCTATAGATGAGAGAGACAAAGCTGGCCTCCTTCCCGCGATTTTCAAAGTTCTCTCTGGTGGGCGAGGTGGGACACCTAGGCTGCCGCCAGACTCCAGAGCTTTGTACTACATGAAGAAGCTCTATAAGACATATGCTACGAAGGAAGGGATTCCTAAATCTAATAGAAGTCACCTCTACAACACTGTTCGGCTCTTCACCCCCTGTACCCAGCACAAGCAGGCTCCTGGAGACCAGGTAACAGGTGTGTAAAAGCAGATTGGTTAACTGGAGGGAGGGAGGATGATAAACACTTCGGCATTTCAGTTACAGAAAGAAGCTGACTTTAGCTCCTTGAATTGCATTTTATTTTGCATAAAACTCAGTATCCAACTGAAACAAATCTGGGACTTGAGCTTATTGTTTGTTCCCAATGCTCTCATTGGTTAAGGTGGGCTTACATGATGGAATTTTAAAGCGACACCAGAGACTTAATGGCTTTCAAGGCTGAGGGGAAACGCTGCTACAGTATAGTAGCATCTCTTTCTATACCACTAAGCTTTTGGCCCAGAAATGGGCCTTAAACATCTCTTACAGCTATTGGTGTGCCATGTTAAATAGGATATTTTTTCCTTGTTACTTTCTTTGAGAGAAAATCTTAAGTCCCCATTTGGAACAGTCAGCCCTTACCAGAACAAAATATTAGTCCACAGTTTGACTCAGCATTTGGGTGTGGTGCTTTAAAAAAAAACATATTTACCAGCTCTTTCCTTTCTTTCCTTTCTTTCTTTCTTTCTTTCCTTTCTTCTTTCCTTTCTTTCTTGACTGAGTCTCACTCTGTGGCCCAGGCTAGAGTGCAGTGGTGCAATCTCTCTCATTGCAGCCTCCACCTCCCGGGTTCAAGTGATTCTCCTGCCTCAGCCTCCTGAGTAGCCGGGACTATAGGTGCACGGCACCATGCCCAGCAAATTTTTGTATTTTTAGTAGAGATGGGGTTTCACCATATTGGTCAGGCTGGTCTTGAACTCCTGACCTCAGGTGATCCACCTGCCTCTGCCTCCTAAAGCGCTGGGATTACAAATGTGAGCCATTGAGCCCACCAACCAGCTCTTGATTTAAAACCATTGGAACCCAACAGGGCAGTTGTGTCTGCTTAAAATCCTTTCTCCTAGGCCAGGCACAGTGGCTCAAGCTTGTAATTCCAGCACTTTGGGAGGCTGAGGCAGACGAATCACTTGAGGTCAGGAATTCGAGACCAGCCTGGCCAGCATGGTGAAACGCCATCTCTACTAAAAATGCAAAAATTAGCTGAGCGTGGTGGTGCATTTCTATAGTCCCAGCTGCTTGGGAAGCTGAGGAAGGAGAATGGCTTGAACCTGGGAGGCGGAGGTTGCAGTGAGCCGAGATTGCACCATTGCACCCTAGCCTGGGCGACAGAGCAAGACTCTGTCCCCAAACAAAAAACGCTTTTTCCTTCCTTAATATCCTATTTTAATATAGTGGTTTTAGAGCATCTGTTTTTAATCTCAAGTGTTCTAAATTAACTCGGATGATTACCTTGTAAATTGACTTTCTTCACTAAGGCTTAGAATGTCATCTTAATAAGACTGATAAGGGTTTTTATTATGGTGTGCCCTCTAGAGATGATCCAGGAGAAAATACTACTTACCAGCTGCTTCTGTGTTTGGAGCAAATCATTCAGAATGAAACTTCAGGCTGAGCACAATGGCTCATGCCTGTGCTTCCAGCACTTTGGGAGGTTGAGGCAGGAGGATCACCTGAGCCCAGAAGTCGGAGAACAGCCTGGGCAACATGGCGAGACCTTGTCTCTACAAAAACAAAAAATTAGCTGAGCGTGGTGGCTCACACCTGTAGGCCCAACTACTTGGGAGGCAAAGGTGGGAGGATCAGTTGAGCCTGGGAGGTTGAGAGTGCAGTGGCCATGATGGTGCCACTGCCCTCCAGCCTGGGTAACAGAGTGAGACCCTGTCTTGAAAAAAATAAAAATGAAATCTCAGAATGTAGTGATTCCCGGTTGCTTTAATTCACCACCAAATCTGACTTCCTAGAGAGAAAATGTCCAGTATGGTTGCTGGGAATTAGTAATGCTACCAGTTGCCTTCCTTTTCTATATTAAACCCCATTTCTTTTTTGAGTCTTGATAAAGCAGAAAAAAGAAGGGAGAAAGCATATTACAAAGTACTGATTCCTTGACTTGACTGCCTGTTATGTTGACTCATATTCAAGCACTACTGCTAGATTGTTTTTCTTCTCAGGAATCCTTCCGTCAGTGGACCTGCTGTTTAACCTGGATCGCATTACTACCGTCGAACACTTACTCAAGTCAGTCTTGCTGTACACTATCAATGACTCAGTTTCTTTTTCCTCTGCTATCACATGTGTGTGCACCCTGATGATGAAGGAGCCAGAGTTTTCTAGCAAGACTTTCCGCAGAGGTCCATACTCATTTACCTTTAACTCACAGTTTGAATTTGAAAAGAAACACAAGTGGATTGAGATTGATGTGACCAGCCTCCTTCAACCTTTAGTGGCCTCCAGCAAGAGAAGTGTTCACATGTCTGTAAATTTTACATGCATGAAAGACCAGCTGCAGCATCCTTTAGCACAGAATGGTTTGTTTAACATGACTCTTCTGGTGCCCCCCTCACTCATCTTATATTTGAATGACACAAGTGCTCAGGCTTATCACAGGTGGTATTCCCTTCACTATAAAAGGAGGCCTTCCCAGTGTCCTGACCAGGAGAGAAGTCAGTCTGCCTATCCTGTGGGAGAAGAGGCTACTGAGGATGGAAGAACTTCCCATCACCGTCACCGCAGAGGTCAGGAAACTGTCAGCTCTAAATTGAAGAAGCCCCTGGTCCCAGCTGCCCTCAATCTGAGTGAGTACTTCAAACAGTTTCTTTTTCCCCAAAATGAGTGTGAGCTCCATGACTTTAGACTTAGCTTTAGTCAGCTGAAGTGGGACAACTGGATTGTGGCTCCACACAGGTACAACCCTCGATACTGTAAAGGGGACTGTCCAAGGGCAGTTGGACATCGGTATGGCTCTCCAGTTCACACCATGGTGCAGAACATCATCTATGAGAAGCTGGACTCCTCAGTGCCAAGACCATCATGTGTACCTGCCAAATACAGCCCCTTGAGTGTGTTGACCATTGAGCCTGATGGCTCAATTGCCTATAAAGAGTATGAAGATATGATAGCTACAAAGTGTACCTGTCGTTAACAAATGGTCCTCTTAAAACCTTGAGCCTATTTGGCAAAGTATCTGTGCCTTCAAGAGAAAGCTTCATATGTTAAGTCTCAATAAAATGCAGTATATGTTGTATAAAGAGGACCCTGTGTAGATTAGTACCTTACATGGCATCTATTAGGATAACGGGATAACATCAATTGTTGCTTCAGATCCTTTTTTTATTTCCAAATTTAAATGAAATATAATTATTGTGGAGAACTTTACATTTTTTTCCTTGAGCTATTTTCTTTTCATAGGAGTCTTTTTCTTGATAGGGAAAAAAACGTTAATTAGCATAAATCCTGGATGGACTTGCACTATAAATAGGCAATTCAGATTGTAGTCTTAATCCAAAAATAAATTTCTGTCAATGGCATAATTTTTTTGTGTGTTTTATTAAAGATTGCTTTTAAGTGATCTTTTGGAGGAAACAGGAAGTGTCTAAAAACTGGCCATAGCTCAACTTTTGATCCTTTTTCAGGGTGAAAGAGAGCCTAACTTCACCTGAATCCTCATGAAGTGAGACTCAATAGGACTAGAGAGTAGGCAGTTTAACCCATTTCTGTTGCTTTAGTGTGACTGGCGAACAATATACTAATTCTCCTTGTTAACTGGAATATATGAATTAATCAAGTCACACAGAACAAAATAACATTTGTCCCATTCATTTGAAGGAAATGCCTTGCTTATTTTCCCAAGAAAACCTATATACAAGACTTTGTAAATGTATTTTTTTCTTTATATATTTAAAACCTCTGATCTTATGAAAGGAAGCCAGGGAAGGTTTTATGTCTTTTGGTTTGGTTTGGTTTTTGCTGATTTCCTTAGCTCCCTCCACTCCAATCCCAGAGATTTTTTTCTAGCTGCATTTAGAACTGTTCCTACTAAGCTTGCAGTAGTGACTGGTTATATTACTGACTGGTCTTATGTGGATGCTAGGGTTTTTATGTAGGTTTTCAATACATCTGTTTCAAGAGTGCCCTGGAGGCACAGAGGTAAGTTTGATATGGTGATTTTGTGTTTGAGTTTCTAAAACCTTGATGTATAAACCAAAAGTAACTCCTAGATGTAATAAGTACTTTTCATTCTTGTAAATGATCTTTTCTTGGTGCTCTTTTTAGCTTCATTAAATATGCACATACTGTATAATTTACCCATTTCAAGTGTACAATTCAATGGCTTATACTGTATTCATAAACATGGGACAACATCAATTTTAGAACATGTTTATCAACTCAAAAAGAAACCTTAGACTCTTTAGCTAGTACTCCACTATTTCCCATCCTGCCCCACTCCCCACCCTAAGCAACTACTAACCTGTTGATAGGTTTCCTGATTCAGGACTTTCGTATGAATGCAGTCATACAATAGGCTGGCTCCTTTCATTTAGCATGTTTTCAACGTTCATTTGTATTGTAGCATGTATCAGTACTTTCTAATGGCTATATTTCATTGTATGGCTATACCAAATTTTGTTTATCCATTTGTCGATGGACATTTGGGCTGTTTCCATTTTTTAGCTATTACAAATAATGCTGATAAAATTCATGTAGAAGTTTTATTTCTTTGGAGTACATACCTAAGAGTGGAATTGTTAGGTCATATGGTAACTACATTTAGTCATTTGAAGAACTGCTAGATTTTTTTCCAAACTAGCTGCACCATTTTATATTCCCACCAGCAGTATATGAGAGTTCTGATTTCTCATCCTTTCAACACTCACCTGACTTGGGGGATGTTTTTGTTTTTATTTTATATGGGTATATAATAGTTGTACATATTTATAGGCACAAATGATATTTTGATACAAGCCTACAATGTGTAATGAACTTAAGTGACTTTTCTGACCATCCAAGTGGGTGTGAAATGGTATCTCATTGTGGTTTTGATTTGCATCCCTTGATAACTAATGATGTTGAGCATCTCTTCATTTGCTTATTAGCCATTTGTATATCTTTTTTGAGGAAATCTCTGTTAAGATCATTTGCCCATTTTCTAATTGCATGTTTATTGAGTTGTAAGAGTTATTTATATATTCTAGATACAAGTTTCTTACACAATTTTCAAATATTTTCTCTCATTCTGTGGGCTGCCTTTTTGTTACTTTATTGTTTTATATATATATATTATATATGTATAAAACAATATTTTACTATTTTAAATATTTAAGTGTACAAGTCAGTGGCATTAAGTACATTCACGTTGATTTCCAACCATCCCTGCTATTTCAAACTTTTTCATCATTCCAATCTGAAATTCTTCCCATGTAGAGTTAAAAAAAAAAAAATCCCAGCCTGGGCAACAGACATGGTTCTGCAGTGTTACTCATTAAAAAAAATCCCAGCCTGGGCAACATCGCAAAACTCCATCTCCACAAAAAATACAAAAATTAGCTGGGCGTGATGTCATGAGCCTGTAGATCCAGGTACTCAGGAGGCTGAGGCAGGAGGATTACTTGAGCCTCGGAGGTCAAGGCTTGCAGTGAGCTATGATTGTGCCACTGCACTCCAACTCCAGCCTGGGTGGCAGACTGAGACCCTGTCTCAAAAAAAAAAAAAAAATCCTTTTTTTCCTTGCTGTCCCTGGTAACCACTATTCTATCTCTACAAATTTGCTTGTTCTAGGTACTTCCTGTAAGTGAATCATTCAACGTTTGTTCTTTTGTGTCTGTCTGATTTCACTTAGCATGATGTTTTCAAGGCTCATTCATGTTGTAGCATATATCAGATTTTCTTTCCTCATTAAGGCTGAATAATCCATTGTACTCATACCACATTTTGTTCATCTATCAGTGGATGCTTCAATTGTTTCTCCTTTTTAGCTATTGTGAATAATGCTGCTATGAACATTGTTTTACAAATATCTGTTAGAATCTCTGCTTTCAATTCATTTGGATCTATTCCTAGAAATGGAACAGCGGAATCACAGGGTAATTCTTTGTGACTGTAGCATTTTACATTTCTACAGCAAATTTACAAGTATTCCAATTTCTCCACCTCATAGCCAGCACTTGTAATTTTATTTGCCGTGTGTGTATGTATACGTGTGTGTATATGTTTATGTGTGTGTGTGTGTGTGTGTGTGTGTGTGTGTGTGTGTGTGTATGTATAAAATAGCTATCCTAATGGCTGTGAAATGGCATCTCATTGTGTGTGTGGTTGTCTTTTTGTTTGGTTTATTTTTAGAAGTAAAAGAATAGTTACTCCATAGGCAGAGCAGCTTCATTGTGGTTTTGATTTGCATTTCTCTAATAACTGAGGATGTTGAGTATTTCTTTATGTGTTTACTATTTGTGTATCTTTGGAGAAATGTCTATTTAGATCCTTTTCCTTTTTTTTGAGATGGGGTCTCTCTCTGTTGCCCAAGCTGGAGTGCAGTAGCATGATCTCGGCTTACTGCAACCTCCACCTCCCTGGTTCAAGCGATTCTCATGCCCCAGCCTCCTAGATAGCTGGGATTGCAGGCACGTGCCATCACACCTGGCTAAGTTAGGTATTTTTAGTAGAGATGGGGTTTCGCCATGTTGGCCAAGCTGACCTCAAACTCCTCACCTCAAGTGATCTGCCTGCCTCAGCCTTCCCAAGTGCTGAGATTACAGGCATGAGACACTGCATCCAGCCCTGTCCATTTTAAAATGTATTTTCTCATTCTTTGGGTTACCTTTTCACTTTTCACTTGTGTGTATATGTATGTTTGTGTAGGTAGAGACATGGGGTTTTATCATGTTGCCAGGGTGGTCTTGAACTCCTGAGCTCAAGCAATCTGCCCACCTCAGCCTCCCAAAGTGTTGGGATTACAAGTGTGAGCTGCTGCACACAGCCCCTTTTCACGTTCTCAGTAGTCCTGTGTACAAAAGTTTTCAATTTTGATAAAATCTAAAACATCTGTTTTTCAATTTTTTGCCTATGCTTTTAGTGTTATATCCAAGGAATCGTTGCTAGATCCAATTTTGGGTTGTAAAATCAATGCCATGAAGATTTTCCCCTATATTTTCTTCTAATGGTTTTGCAATTTTAGCTTTTACTTGAGTCTCTAATCCATTTTGAGTTAATATTTGTATATGGTGTGAGGTAGAGGTCCAACTCTTACTTTTGCATATGAATATCTAGTTATTTCAGTATCATTTGTTAAGATGATTTTTTTCTCCTGTTGAATTGTTTTGGAATTCTTGTAAAAAACAGTTGACTAGGCTGGGAGTGATGACTCACACCTGTAATCCCAGCACTTCGGGAGCCTGAGACAGGAGGATTGCTTGAATCCGGGAGTTTGAGACAAGTCTGGGGGGCTAACAAAGTGAGACACTGTCTCTACAAAAAATACAAAATAAAAAAATTAGCTAGGTGTGGTGGTGCACACCTATAGTTACAGCTACTCGGGAGGCTGAGGCAGGAGGATTGTTGAGCTCAGGAGGTTGAGGCAGCATAGAGCTATGATTATATACCTATACTCCAGGGTGACAGAGCAAGACCCTGTCTCTCTCTCTCTCTCTCTCTCTCTCTCTCTCTCTCTCTCTCTCTCTATATATATATATATATATATATATATATATATATATATACACATACACACACACACACACACACACACTTTTTTTTTTTTGAGACAGTCTCTCTCTCTGTCATCCAGGCTGGAATGCAGTAGTGTGATCTCAGTGGTGTGATCTCAGCTCCCCTTCCCAGGTTCAAGCGATTCTTGTGCCTCAGCCTCTGGAGTAGCTGGCATTACAGGCAGGTGTCATGATACCTAGCTAATTTTTGTATTTTTTGTAGAGATGAGGTTTTGCCATGTTGGCCAGGCTGGTCTCCAACTCCTGGCTTCAAGTGATCCACCTCCCTTGGCCTCCCGAAGTGCTGGGATTACAGATATTAGCCACTGCGCCCAGCTAAAACCATATAAATTTTATAATCAATTCATTAATTTCTGCAAAAAAGTTAGCTAGGATTTTCATAGGGATTGTATTGAATCTGTAGATCAGTTTGGGAAAAATTGCCATCTTAACAATGTTGTCTTCCAGTTCATGAACATAAGATGTTTCCCATTTGTTTAGATAATCTTTAATTTTCTTTTCTTTTTGTTTTTTGATTTTTGAGACAGGGTCTCACTCTATTGCCCAGGCTGGAGGCTCCCTGTAGCTTTCACCTGCCAGGCTCAGGTGATCCTCCTACTTCAGCCTCCCAGGTAGCTAGGACTATCGGCATGTGCCACCACTCTTGGCTAATTTTGTGTACTTTTAGTAGAGACAATTTCTTGCCATCTTGCCCAGGTTTGTTTACAAACTCCAGGCTCAAGTGATCCTCCCACCTCCTCCCTTGCAAAGTGGTAGGGTTACTGGCCAGGCACAGTGGCTCATACCTGTAATCCAAGCATTTCAGGAGG